GAAATACAAGTTGATCACAGTATAAATGATGTTAAATTCTATCTTAAGATATTTGAACTTTGTCCATTAAAAGTTTTGAGTAATGGAGAGGCATGAATTTTTGGAAAGAGTAGTCTAGCAGCACAGTGGAGAATCTAGTGGGGAAAAGGTGGAATCATTTCCTTGGGGATCCTGTACCAGGATGACTCTGAGGCTCAAACCAAACTCTCTGTGAGTGGTCTATAAACTTTTATTGCGATTGAAACCAAATAGGCTTAAGCATGCTCCTTAGGTACTTAAGTAACTCCAGACACAATAGTATTATTATAAATCATTTCATGTAGAACAAGATGGATAGATAGATGATAGATCGATGGATGGATGGATGGATGGATAGATATAGGTATATATAGAGATATAAATGATAACGTCTTGGGTTGTATTTGAAAAGAAATGTTCTGAAAAGCATGGTATCAACAGTAATCCTGAGACTATTCAAGAAATCTAAGTGTAGTACAAAATTCAGCCAATGGCAGCGCGTATGGATCCAGAAACCACCTTCCCCCACTCACCTTTTCACCCTATTCATCTCATCATTCTTACCATAGACTTAGCTTTTGTGTCTAGGTACCCTTGCCTTCTGCTGTCTGTAGTGATAGATTTCTGCCATGTGACTTATTTCTTCCATTTGTTTATAAGCTTCTTAAAGATAGAAATAGTGTTTTATCCCTTCTTTGTAATTCTCCAGAGCCTAGGGCTCGGCTCTTTATCCAGCTGGGAAAGACTGTGGACAGACCCCTAAGTAAAATAGATCACAAGATCCTGCTGTTCAGGTTATTAAGAATGATGAAAGATCCAAAAAGGATTCTCACTGGCATGTCAGTATGGAAAGAAAAGCAGATGTTTATCGAGCACCTTCATGTGCCCAGCATCTGGAGGTAGATGCAGACACCTAAGGTTGGGACCTGGGTATACTGTGGAGTCATCAAACCAGGATAAAAAGCTAAAGCTTTGAATAGGGGGAGGGAAAGGGAGAGAGGAAGCTGCCGGGCATGGATACGATGCCGGCCGAGGATATACACAAACCTTCACAGCAATGGCAGAATTCTGTGAAGTAGGTGCTTTTGTGCTTCTTTCAAATTAAGAAACTGAGGCTCAAAGAGGCTAAGTAATGTTCTTTAAAATGTTTCTTACGATGAGTGGTGACGCTGAGATTTTAACCCACGTCCCCCTTATCTAGGGTGCAGTGCACTGAGTCTCCAACAGGAGGCGAAGTGTGACTGGCTTCCTCCTTAACAGGCTCCTCATTCTGGGTCGCGCAACCAGAATCAAGTTACGATGAATAATATTTCTTCCCAGGATGTTTCTTTGTGACTCATATTTCTGTGATCAAGATTGGAAACCCGACTTAGCCAAGGAAATACTGTGCTCACAAGTCACAAGTATCATGACTTTGGATAGGAGAGGCTTCATGAAATAATCAGGGTTTTGGTCATATGATGGGTCACTCTTCTCACCAAATATGTGTTTTAAATAATCTGACAAACTTGATATGAATTGTTCAGATGAAAGATTATGAACTTAATTGAGTTGGTTGAAATTTAAAGTCTGTAACACCGGAAAAGATACTCCTCTTGCTTTAGCAGTAAGGAAATGACCTTTTTATTAATTCAAATTCTCAAGTACAAATGTTAATATTGTCACAGAAAGGTGACATACAGGAAGATGATAAGTTTCTACTGAGCACCTTCTGATGGGCTCTGAGCTTTTCTGATAGGCAGTGACGTTATGCTTTATTACTCATGTTCATTTCTCATTCTCAATCGCCTGGATCCCTCAGCCATCCTGAATACACACGTCAGATCATTCAGGATGTACATAAGAAGGTTCTCAGACACTGCTGGAAGAATTGTCACAAAATTGGCAGAACAAAATTCTCTTACTCTATGAAAAAAGCCATCCTGGTGTTTTTGGTGTTTTTCATTTAGAACTCACTGAATCTTATTGTACAAATCTAGTTTTATAAATTGGAATTCTCACATCAACTTAGAGCAAAATGCCATGTAGTAGAACTGGTAGCTTCAGTGACCACCTTGTGAATAAGAACGAAAAGACCCAGAATGACACACAGCCTGAGGTGACCCTTGATTTTTATGGTGGTGGCTTTGAGTCATTGAGTCAGGATGCACTGAATTATGTTCTATGCCTTCTATTTAAGGAAACATGGAGGTACGGAATTATTTTTAGCAAGATTTCCAACAAACGTGTTCAAAAATAATTTTTAGTGATTTTCTAAAAATCTTGAGCAAAACTTAAACTCTGTATTCACAGAAGAGATGTGAACATCGCTCCTTTGGCGTGTGCTCGCCCCAGGCGCGGCGCGCTCCCACAGGTTGTGTCTGATAGGAATCTTAGCATCCCTGCGCTTGCTGAGGCTGCAGCTGTCAATGGCAGGCAAGTCTGCCCCTCTGAGTGCTAGGATTAGTCCGTGTGAAGTTTTCAGCTTAGCCTCAGACTAAGTTTCTCTCAAAGTTGTTAATGTCTTTACTTTCCTTTTCCAATCAGCCAATTACAAACTCTTATTGGAGAGTAAAACGTGTCCTGTGAGGGTTGAATGAAATCTACTTTAACTTCAATCACATCATTACCATTTGTAACCCTCATTATGTGAAAAATATGCGCTAGCATTTTTTTTTTTTTACCTCTGGGCTCCAGAGAAAATAACATGTTTAGAAACTGAAGGAACAATGAATTGTATGGCTTTGATATTGTACAACTGTTGTACAATATCAGATATTATGCGATGGTCTTAATATCTGTGTAGTATCTGATGTGCAATATCCACTACTGTACAATGGTCTTACTGATATCTGTGAAATATCTGCTATTGGGCAATATCTGATATCGTTAACATCTGATATTGCCAAATGGTTTTAATATCTGTACGGCATCTGATATTGCACAATATCTGGTTCCAATTAAAATAAAAGAAGAATTTCTATTTAATTTGCTCTTATGACTATTAATTCGGTCCAGGATGTGGACATATGATCTATGACTACTTTTCTGGATATATAACTCTGCAAAGATCGGTCCAGTTACTTACAGTGATTGAACTCTATTAAGAAATAGAATTATTACAAGAGCCCTACAGATTTGCAGGTCAATTTATAGCTCTAATGGATGAGCGGGATTTGGGATGTAAGGTAAGCTACTCAGTGGCATGCTCCCAAAGTACAATCAAAGCTGAATTTCACAACCCTCTGTCCATTCCTATGCATGACTCACCAGTCTTATGTTGAATTGATATTTTTTCCATTTCTTCTATTTTTAGATTTTTATGCTGGAGCTCACTCTGAGATAACTTTTTCCAATAAATGGTCTGAAGCTAAGTTTGAGTTCATAAAATCAATTTTAAAAAAAATGAGGCCATTTTGCCAACGACTGAACAAAAAAAATCCTGTTTCCTCAATTATCCACTAGACTAAACTCAGCATCTGAAATCTATGCTTCCATTAATATAGATATGCCAGCCAAAAATAAGTAACTGACTTTTTTTCTTAACTTACACTGAGATGATATTGTTGATGTTATTTGTTCTTATAACATGAGCCTCATCACAGTTTCCTGGAATAAAATGACAAATTATGTATTACATAAAAAATAAAAATTATTTGGGTCTTTCAAAAGCTATATATGTGTATGATAGAAAATTGTATATGTATTACATAAAAACCCTATGAACTGCTTAATTTAACACATTTTTATGTATCTTTTTTCTTTTTTTTTTTTTACAAAAGCTGAACTCTCTCCATGTTTATAAGGCAGTCTGGGATAACAAGCAAAATAAACAAGAGCCTTTCTGGATAAGCGTGTCCATATGCCAATGTGGTTTAGGTCTCATTCAAGACACAAAACGTACTACCTCTGAAAAAATGCGGGAACGTTTATTAAATGACCAGGAGAAATTCCACAGTATGTAGAATGGGAATAACAATACATAACTTTGTAGTTTTTTTCGATTTTTAAAAACAAGTCCAAGGACATTAAAATATTCTTTTCATTAAGATGCTCCAAGAAATGAACTAAGAAAAATTGATGCAAGGACTCCTTCAAGTTTGAATTTGTGATACAAATATTTTTGTCTTTTTTTTTTTATTTATTCATGAGAGACAGAGGGAGAGAGAGAGAGAGAGAGAGAGAGAAGCAGAGGGAGAAGCAGGCTCCCAAGGAGCAGGGAGCCCGATGCGGGACTCGATCCCAGGACTCTGGGATCATGACCTGAGCTGAAGGCAGACGCTTAATGACTGAGCCACCCAGGCGCCCCTATTTTTCTCTTTTAACAGGGCAAGCTGATGTGTTCACATTTCAGTTCCAAGCTGCCTCTTTCCCTAGGAAACATGAGTTTTTAAGGCACATTTATGGTGCCTCCCCCTCCCCCTTGCTGTGTGTTTGTAGCACCTGTAGCCATAGCTGGCACCTGGGGGCCTCGCACTGTTGGCACATTCCCTCTCATTTCTTTGGAGTCTATTCAACTGCTGTGGTTTTACTCAGAAGTCAGTGCTTTGCATAGATGATTTCCTGAGACTGTTTGAATAGTCTTTCTCAGAAAACCGTGCCAGTCTGGCTGTGAGCAGCTCTTCTCTAAGAGTTGCTGACAGGAGCCTGGTCAGGTCATGGAACCCGGACGTGGGTTCCCAGCCAGGTCCTACTAGCTTCCTTCCTTCCCCCTTCCCTTCTTACTCCTGCCTCGGTGATGTCACTGCCCACATCTTGCCATCCTTTTAAAGAAGAGAACGAGATTTGGACTGGTCCAGTTAGAAAAGAATATAATGCTTCCCTGGGAACCTATGCAAAGCTCCCATAAAAACAATTCATATTTGTTGTTTCAGCAACGGATGTGGAAATGATTTTAAATAATAAACAAGACCAGACGGAATAATTCAAACTTCAGTAAGGTAATAATCTGTTGCGAAGACAGAAGTCCCTACTTAGGGTTACAGACATGAAATCTGGGACAAAGGTAACCCTGAATTTCTTGATTTGAGTGTACTTTTTAAGATCATCATCTGAACAGTGCAGTTTTGCGATAGGACAAAAATGGCTTTTAATAAGGTCGGGCATGCTGTTTTGAGGTGCTAAGGTAGAGAGAAGCATTGTTTTATGAAGTGGCTCATGTGGGTGTATATATGCTGGTGTGCCGTGCTGCTGGCAATCCCGTGGTCCTCGTCTGTATACCACTGCAGAGAGAGACAAAGGTCAGAAATAGGAAGTCAGTTGTCTTCTTCTTTTTTAGAAAAATAATTCAAATAAGCTCTCACGAGCATACATAGAATTAAAACATTGTTTTAGGGGGTATATATATATATATATTCTAATGAAACTATCCAAATCCACTTTCAGATTTGACTCAAAGGACACTTAGAACCACATCATGCACAGGAAAGAACGTTTATCCCATTAAGTACCCTAGTTTTAATTGTTATCAAGTGTCAGATTTCTCCTACTCTGCAGGAAGAGAAACTGTATTAAAATAAATGTTTTAAAAGCAACTTTTCCTAATATATGTTACCAAGGAACTAGAAAAATCTATTCCAATATTTCATATATATGTTTAACCTGAGGTCAAAAGGCAAATGTATTATTTGCAAACACTTTGATTTTTCACTAGAATTTTCTATCTGTATGTCTGACATTTATGAAAGAGTTGATGACCTGAGGCAAAAATTTATCAACACATTCCACATTAAACAAGTGGGAAATCACTACCAGGCAAACATATATCATAGAGACATAAATAAACTTTTAAAAAATTGCCTAATTAAAGTATCAAATCTTTTCTTTGAGTAGTAGAAAAAGAAACCTCAAGCTTTTATAAGACTCTGACCCCAAAAGACATATACCAGGTTTTTCTTTCTTTCTTTTTTTTTTTTTTGGTATCAAATAACTGCCCCATTCTGATTCAGTGGGCATCATTTGAACTGATCACAGAGCAGAGTGAGTGTGTGTGTGTGTGTGTGGAGAGTGAGGAAAAGCAGGTTTTCTAGCTAATAGAGGCAAGAAAGCATTTTATACAAAAATATTTAGTGCAACACACATGCACATACATATAAAAATACAAACATACATTTATGTGTGTGATATATACACACACAAAAACCATCTTTTTTTCTTTTTTCTTCTTGAACTGAAAAGATCTAGAGCAGAAAATGAATCTGACTTAATACCTAGAAACAGCCTACTGTATAGGCAACAACAGCTCTAGCCATTTCCAACTCTATAAAACAAGCCTAATTGTTTATTGCCTGTGGTTGTTCAACAAAAGATAACGTTGCATTTGCAAAAACTGAAGCATGCCGATTATTAATGTCCCACTGTTGTTAGGATGGCTAGTAATGCATACTAGACAGAAATGGATTTTCATATTGGAGCTGAGCTATTATCATGCTGGTTTCACTTTAGAATTACTCCACCACACATTTACTGAGTAAGTGATTACTTCTGAATCCAAATAGGGAGAGACTGAACGACCACATGGGTAGGAGAGCACTGTTTTGACACTCCCAAGATATGCAATATTGTGCTTCTCAACCCCCAAGTCTCTAATAGTTTTGAACATTACTCTGTCTATGGCTTAAGGATATCACTTCCAACTTCTCATTGGACAAATAAAAACCCTTTTAGTTCTGTCCCTGTCTCCCGGGACTGTTTGCGGAGAAGGAGCCAGGAGAGGGGGAAACCAAGACCCCACCAGCAAGTTCTCCCCTTTTGCACCAAGTTTTGCTATACCATTGCTTGGAAATCCACTCCAGCATCCACCAGGGCTTTGGAGATCTGAGCTGACTGCTGAAAGTGAACGTTATCTGCAAGGAGAGAAAGGAAACACAAAGTAACTAATAGCCGCTCCTTTTCTGATAGGAAGGGTAGGAAAGGCACAAGAAGAAAGGGACTATTTGAAGTTCTAGGACTTAGCATCCCATTTAGCCCAAGACAAGTGAGTTGTGGAAAGCAACACTGTTTTATTGAAGTAAATGTAACAGTCTTGCCCCTCATGCTTTTGTTTTGTCAGTAGTGAAATTGCAAACCTGTCTGTGATACTAAAAAGTCTAATTAACTGAAACTCACCATCTGCTGTTCCATGAATAAGGAGGTACTCAACTTGTTTAAAATTTTCAGCTCTGCTCATGACTGTTGAATTCTGGAATTGGGAAAAAGAATGTCATTATTCAAAAAAAGATCTGCCATAAACTGATTTTTCACTTCAGTTTACAAAATAAAATGTTTTCAGCTGGGGCCCCCTTTGATACAAAATATAGCAAACCGATATTTAAGCAAATGCTGTCTCCATGCATGGCAGAATGCACAGCATGCCCTGTGCCTGGGAGACAGGACTGGAAAGGGAGGATGCCACATCTTCCTTGCACATGCAGGCAGAGGGCACCTGCCACCAGGGCTGCACGCAAAGCCCCTTGAGTCCCAGATCCCAGATTGGCTGTGTCCTATGCATTAGCACAGGGCAGAGTCTCATATTAGCAATGTATGTTCCATGGGCTTATGCTGTAGTTCAGCCAAAAAGTGTATTGCCATGGCAACCGTGTGTCACATGGTGCCATACATGCTACATTTCAAAGAGCCTGTACATAGCATTTGCAACTAAACATACTCTGCAATATGTCATATGAACTTTGGTCCACATTGCTAGGCAATGAATGAGAAGCAAGTATTACCTCTTTTGGAACAGATGTTTAAAACCTAGGCAAATGTAACATATGGGAGGGGAAAGGGGTGCAAAAGATCAAGCATGGCCTTAGAAAATCAGTGGGTTGTTGTTGTCTGCCTCATTCTGTATCAGGGAAAATCCTGCTCTTGGATCAAGCCATTCCCAAATCAGCCAGAGAAACAGGGCAAAACACTGGGAGGTAAGCTTTTTGAAGACCAACCTCAGTGAGGCAGGACTTCTCGAATGGGCATGGGGCCTTGGATGAGAAATCCTTTGAAAGCATGGAACTGGTCATCTGATCTTGATTTGGGGATGTTTACAAAGTTGGGATGAAGGCAAAAGTGTCACAGAGGCATCATAGTGCCTTTGGGAGGGGGCGAGCTGGAATCCGCTTCTCTTGTCTCCTTATGGGTTGGGGAGAGGGAGGGCCAGTGGTTTCCCTATAGGTTTAAAAATCATCCAGCTATTGCTTCAGCACCTTCGTAAATCAAAGTCAACTTTATGAGTGCCAAGTTTATGTATTTTACAGATCTCTTTGTAGCTAACACCAGCTCCATATTTTTTGATGGGAACCCTGATGGTCTGGCAGGAAGGGGATGGGGCTAAGGTGTTGGATTTGGATTCTAGCCCCAGCTTCGACATCAGCGAGCTGTGCGCCTGGAGACATGCCGCACTCTGAGTCTCGTCTTCTGTAAAATGGGCGTATTTGTAGGAAGCACTGCTCTATTTAATCCTGCCAACATTCCTCTGAGATAGGTCTCCAGTGATCCTGCTTTCTCCATGGAGACCCCAAGACTCAGAAATGAGGAACTCGCACTAGGTTCCATCTGTCCGAAGTGTCGGAGCTAGACACAAAGTCTGATGCCAGAACCTCTTTTTCTTCCTATGCTGCCCCAAGGCCACTAAAATTCCAAGCTGCTCATGATGTGGTCTTCCCGCAAAGGAACAGTGAGAAGTAAGTTAACTGTCCCGGAATTTGTACCGTGCAAGCACCCTGGGTATCCCTCCGGCCACAGGCTTCCCGTGGCTTCTCAGACTGAACTAAGCAAAAAGAGAGCCCGTCTGCCCGGCCCTGTGAGATTTGGGAGGCGTGTTTTCTGACCGTGCAGCTGCCACAGAGCCCAATGCAGCAGCAGAACCCTGAGCAATCGCTGCTCTCTGGAGAGGAAAGGGTCAAAATCAGTCTCCCTAAAGGAGGGTAGAATTCAGAGCTTGAGCTGCCAGACGCTGGGGCTCCCGCACCACCAGTGAACATCCATAATGTGAGCCACAGGCCCCAGCGCTCCCTGTTAGCGCCCCCCCCGCCCCCCCCCAGCCATCCTTGCGGCCAGAATGCTCACAGCCTTGCCCAGCCACTGCCGCTCGCTCAGCCTCGGTCCTCCCCACACCGAACCTAGCGCTCTGCTCCCCCAACACACGCAACTTCCACACGGAGACCTGACCCACGCAGGCAGCTCTGTCACTTCGCCTCACCTCCAGAAGCCCCACGGGCCTTCCTGGCTTGGCAGCTTGAACAGCAAAAGCTGCTCCTACAACCTCCACGAGCCATAAAACTGAGAAATGTCATTGAAACATAGAGTAATAGTTAGGAGACATATAAATACGCAGGACAGTTAGCAAGGAATGTGATAACTACTGGAGTTTGGACCAAAACAGTTTCTGGCTGCCTTTTTTTTTTCTTAAATGGAGTGAATACAGGCTGAAAGAAGACAATTTTTATAAACAAGTAAAACCCTGAGCCTAAGATAAATGTTGTGATGTACACACTGTAGCTGTGATGAACTAGACATGGTGAGAAATGCAACATACTGAGAAAAAGACGAAAACTGTGATAAAAGTGTCATGATGCAAATTGTTTTACATTAACAATATTACACTACAAAGAAAGAAAGACAAATACTTTAATGCAGCACGAGAAAAATAAAACAAAAGCCTCCCCTGCAACGGTGAGCTAGGTGTGCCCTTTCCATGCACGCTTCCCCCTGCTCCCTGGGAGAAGTCTCCAGAGGGGCCTCCCGGCTCGAGGTGGACCGGCGGACCAGCAGCCTGGAGGCACACACTTGCTCTCAGGCTCTCAGGCAGCAGAGAGCATCCCTCCCCCCCCCCCCCCACCCCTCAAAGATGCAGCCGTGGCACCTTGCCTCTGGCACCACCCATCATTCCCTACTGGACCAAGAATCCTGGCTTCTCCAACAAGAGAGACCCTTGGCGGTCCACCGTGTGGAAGGCAACCCCCGAAGCTGGAGAAAGAGATGCATGCATTAACTGAAGATGGGGTTAATAATCGGAAATAATACCATCGTGCTATTTTAACCCACTAAAATAGGATAATCCCCATTTGCCTATCGATGGAAACAGAAATAGAAAAGGAAATGGATGACTAAGTTAGAAGCCGAATAGTCTATCACCAGCTACTAAAAAGGAAGCTCAGAGTGATAAATGGGCAAGGATGCAATGGTGGTGCAGTTGGCACCCTCCCGAGGCTAGAAACTTCCGGAGAGCCCCGCTGTCAGCAACAGTCTGGCAAAACGAAGTGGGAAGGATTGGTCCAGTGGCAGTGCCGATTCCACAGCATCTCTGTGAGGAGCTTTTCCTTCAAGCCCTAAGAAGAACCATCTGTAGCTGCTTGTTGGATCATGCTGGTTCCTCAGTTACCTTCCAGCAAATAAATCTTTGTATTTTTGAAATAAAGAGAGAGCTGACAAGAGCGGGGAAGTACTGTAAGAAACAGAAGTTCTAACAATTTTTAAGCCACCCCTCGTGCCATCGAGGAACCATAAGGACAACTGGCTTCCTGAGGACGATGATGGCAGCAGGTGCCATGTTTTGAAAGCTTCCCTCAGGGCAGGCACAGGTGTCCCATTTAATCCTTTTGGTAACTCTGTGAGGTAAGCCTGATGATCCCCATTATCCAGATGAGGAAACAGGTTCAGAGAGCTTAAGGAACCTCTCCGAGCTCACGCTGCTAGTAAATGGTGGAAACCAAGTTTGAGTAGAGGTCTAACTCCAAAGTCCGTTCACTTCCCCTTACGTCCTGGTGACCCTTCGCACCCCAGCCAACCACTGCTAACTCCTCAGCATTCCCAGGCTCTTGTGGAGAGGGCAAACGGCCACTGGTCTAATGGACAACCCAGCACATCAGTGCGATATTACAGGGCCACTGATTTTCTCCATGCATGATCTCCTGCTTGCAACCCAAAGCTCATAAATAGCATTAAGTAATGCTATTCAGGGAAGCACCACTAATGCTACAGAAAACAGAGGCCAGAGAACATTTTTAAGAAAAAATTATCTCGACCCACTATATCGGATGTTTTACTTGTTTACATCTATCAAACAACTGTATCCGTGAGATGCCAAGGAAGAGAGCCCGTCAACCCGACAGGGGGCTCTACCTCAGTCCTCACCAAGCAACACTGGCTTCTTTAAAGATCACACAGCAGTCAACATTTTATCAGCACTCAACAAACAAGTTAAGGTTTGGCTTAAATCTGAAGGTCTCTCTCCCTTTGGCATATTCTGGGATAATAGAACAAATGTCAAATCAGTACAAGATGGCATATTTACAAAATTGCACCCTGTTTTGCATAACCTAACGATGCAGCAGTTCTTAAGGATTGAACATTTCAAATCTGCTAGCAGAAGACTGCCAAATCTATGACTGTTTCCTACACTTGCCAAAAGCCTATCAAATTTTGAGCAAAATGCAAAATAAATCTCCTCTACAAGTTAAATCAGTCCCTTCTGTGTGTTCCAGGCTGGCCTCTTCCCTTGGCAACAAGGCTCAGGACTTGGGCCCCATTTCTCTTGCCCTTGATCTTCTGCTTCTCTGTGGATTCATAAATTCATTCCCACCCCAGTCTATGTCCTGCCTTCTAGGCCACCATTTGGCCTGCTCTTCCCACAGCCCTGCTTCCATGTTATCTGTCGGTTCATCCAACCTGCTTCACAAATCCCCCGAAAACCAGCTGTACCTGCTACTCATGTGTGGTTGTGCTCTGCCTCGTTCCTCTCTGCAACCCACAGAGAGCGTCTATGCTCTCCCTCTTTATCTCCTAAGTCTTTCTTTATTGGCTTCACGCAAGTGCCCCTCCCTCGCCTACCCCTCAGCATCTACATGTTATGTAACATTTTTGTGCCTCAGTTTCAGTGTCAATAAAATGAAGATCATTAGAACACTTATCTCAGAGAATGTGAGGGAGAACTGAACCTAATAAACCATATAAACAGCTTAGAATGTGTCTGCCCGTAGAAGCAAGCACTTAATGAATAAATGAAAAAAATGAATGAAATAAATGAAACTGGATTCTCCCCCACCCCTCAGTTGAGAGGAGCTGGGGGTGGGGGGGGAGGTGACACCCTAATTTCTTGGCCACTTCTCTTCCCTGCCCTACATGCTCCGAAGGTACAAAATCCCTGGGGCTTGTCACAATTAGGGAACCACTTCTTTTTTCCATACATAGGGGGCACTCTGTCATATTTGAGTTCATGCTCTATTACCTACTCTCCTTTATTTCTCTTTGATAATTTTGTGTGCATATCTTTGCTCACCAACAAGGTAATAAACTTTTGAACAATTAAAATACCAGACACCTTGAATGGGTGAGTAAAAGTTCACCATTATGTTAATTTTTTAAATAGGTTTAACTAAAAGACCTGTGGTTGACCATATGAAAGACCACTTGTCAATGTTAGCGAGCAACACACTCCTCAAAGTGTGGTTGCAGTTGCTATTTGCCTTTTGCTATTGGGGTGAGGGTTTTCTCATTGCCGATCTGATTCCTTTGCTCAAATCTGCCGCCATTTTGGTCTGCTGTGGACTGAGACTCACTGCAGAAAAGATGTTTCCACAGAGCTACGCTGCCTTTTAGAGTGCTCCTGCCTTGCCACTTGGCAGTAGGTGGGTGACTATCTACAAAGAGTCTCATGGGATCACTGCTCATGTCACTGCATTGGGTCTGAGCCTTAGGCCAGGGTCTGCTAATCTATACGGCAGCTTTGTAAGAATAGGAAAAGGCATTCCTTCCAGTTGGATGCAGCCCCAGGGGTTCATGTCTTAGTGAATGAAGCGTGGACTAGTTTTCAGCAGTGCACAAGCTGAACAACTATACGTGGCATCCCTACTTGTTCCATTTGTGTGTACATATGGTTTCTGGAATTTCCTAAATCATAAGTAGGACCTTTATTTCATAAAATGTGCTTCTCTTGGTGATGTGGGTTTCTCGAAATTCTTCCAAATCTGGGTCATCAGTGACCTAATAATGAATCTTTTTTCTCATGTATTTTTTTAAATTAAAGATCGTCTTCTCTTGGGCGCCTGGGTGGCTCAGTGGGTTAAGCGACTGCCTTCGGCTCAGGTCATGATCCTGGAGTCGCGGGATCGAGTCCCACATGGGGCTCCCTGCTCCGCAGGGAGTCGGCTTCTCCCTCTGACCCTCCCCCCTCTCATGTGCTCTCTCTCTCTCATTCTCTCTCTCTCTCAAATAAATAAATAAAATCTTTTAAAAAAATAAAAAATTAAAAAAAAAGATCGTCTTCTCTTATAAAGGCTATAATCCTGGGTACTCTATTGATGATTCATTAGCTGCAAATGTAGACAAAGATCAGGGCCTTGCTTATTCCATGCTTTGGTTCTTCCTGAGCCGGATGTCCTGCAGAGAGTCAGTGGGCCAGACGAAATGGGAATCATTTTCAAAATATTTCCTTCTGACCCACAGACAGGCACAGGGTACTGAAAGCCTCTAAGGAATCGTCTTCTTTGTCTTTTCCAAAAGGGTGGGAAGAGGGAGGGAGGGAGAGAAGGAGAGAGAGAAATAAAAACAACCTGGGAAAGAAAAGTAAAAGATGGGGTCCAGAGGGGCAGCTGGGGCCTCGGAGGAAAATAGAATCTTTGAATGTATTCTTGCCAGAGACAAAAGCACAGGCTTATTTAAAAAACAAAGGAGGGCAGCTTTATTCTAAAGCCTGCTGTGCACCAAATATAGGCACTTAGATTCAGCTCTCCACACTCTGAGGAAGCAACTTACCAGGGTGAAAACAATTCAGTGAGCGGTAGCCTCCCTTTCCCTACACACCTTAACTCTCGCCCGCCCAAATCGTTCCTCCGAGTAACACATTGGGAACCTTTAGCTCCCTGGTACTGGCAGTTTTAATGTGTCCATTGCCAGCACTGAATTTGGTGCCAAGAAAACTCGACTCCTGGCGTGGAAGGATTAAACAGTCCTCGGGTACCATCTGTGCAGTGAAGTGAAAGAGTGACTTGGTGCACCCAGTGTGCGCGTGTTGCCATTGGCAGTGGGAAGTGACTTCTATTTACATGACTACCTCACTCGGCGAACACCTAAGGGGAGAGACGAACATGGCCACCTCAGGGCGGGTAGAGATGGGGAAGTGGGGGATCGATGTGGGAATGACGAGCCTCTGGGAGAATCTGGGAAAAGATGCAGGATGAAAGGGTAGATTAGAACAAATCATCCTAAAAGGGGGAGGGACGGCTGAAGAGGAAAGACCCTGTTGGCTGTAGGCTGATGTTCACGGAGAGCAGTAGGGCAGGTGCTGTGGACTTCCCTTTGTGTCAGGGTTTGGACTTGACCCTGTGCCTCTAGGTTCAAGGACTTTTCAGAATGGGATTTTAAAAATGAACTTTTGACTTAACATCCACCGGGTTCTAGAGTCAGGGCTGGGGTCCTGGACAGTAAGTACATCTCTGTTTCAAGAGTTTTAGTACTTGGAATATTTGAGAAAGCCCTTCAGCAACTCAGCAAATATGGCATACCACCGGAGGGATTAGCTTTCAAAGGTCAGCATCCTGGTCAGGTTAGGGACAAGAAAATTCCAGATGTAAAATGAGAGAAGTGATGGAGACAGGCAATTTTTACAACAATGTTTCCCTTCAAAAATTCTGAAATCAGGAAAGGTTTTAAGGTTTATACTTCATACCGGGTCATCTAAAGAATATAGTGTTGAGTAGAGATGTGAACAGTTAATAATATTGCAGAGAAGAAATGGGGGTACAAAATAACCATGAGTTCAAGATAGAGAAACTGAAGATTAAGAGATATACAAGAAAATGTCAGGAGAGTCAAAAGGGGATGCTGGTCTGCCGGGAGAGCAGTACAGATTTCCTACTAAATGGTGATATAGGGGAAATGACATTCCAAGCAGAAGGAACAGAAGACAAGGGCATAAAAGGGAAAGGCCCAGGAATATTCAGAGAACAGTGGCTATTACAAGCGAACTGGACCGTTGTTAAGAAGGATGTTAAACACCTGGTTAAAGAATGAGGGCTGGACTCAGTTGAGTCACACGAAAGATCCATGAAAATGTTGTATGTGGGGCTGTGGGGATTAATCTCATGCCCCGTGTGGTAAAGACAGGAGCAGAGAAAGACAAGCTAAGGGGACACCAACTGGGTTATTATTAGAAAAGCAGATAGTCACGTGACAGCAGCAATGTCACGACTGACGAAGAAGGGAAAGGATGTTTAAGGCGGCTTATTGGATGTGTCGGAGAAAGAATGGGAAGAATTGAGTCCCCAGAGTATTATGGGGGACAACTGGCAGAAATGGGGACAACCTGATTACGGGACTGCTAGGTAGTGGAAGATGATCGGTGCATCTCACTGGACAGGCTGTCGCTTTTCCATCTTGACTGGAAAACACACGCAGGTGCCGACTTAGCCACATACTCCTCCCTGCACCCCCTCCACCTAAGCCTTCCTAAATAAAGCTGAAAGAGATAAAATGAAACTGTGTATCCTTACGTTGCAAAACTAGAAATTTTATTTGAGTTTTACTGGGTTTTGATCACATGGCTTCAGAATCTATAGGAATGGCGGCATCTTATAAAAATGTACACATACTGCTCGGAGCGATGCATTCTTATGAAGCCCATGTAGTGAGAGCTGCGGCCCTGATGAGAAACTGTGTTAACTTATTCTTGGTTTTGTGTTCCTTGCTTTTTAATTCATTGTCCTGAAAAGCGTTTTGAATTTCCTTTGGGGAATGTAGCCATGAGATGACTGACCTTGTCATATGCAAGTTCTGGGGTTTTCAACAGACAGGGCAGATCGACTCAGGAAAGTTCTGGAAGGGCCCAAGTGCTACAAAGGTCTCTAGGGGTGAGGCTAGCACTCCCGGCTACATCAGTGTGGCACCAGAGAGAGTGCTCTGGCTCGGCCGTGGCATCCACACTAGGACACGTGGCCATATTCCAGAAGCTGTAGCTTGTCTGAGAGCAACCTACCACGTGTCCCCCCATCAGCCAACCCTGCTGGAGGCTATGCAGTCAGTGTGGCTTCCAGGGCTCTTCAGGGCACTGCCCAACCGTACTCTTCACCTGCTTTACTCCAATCTTGTTTGGGCAAATTGTACATAGCTGGCTAAGAATAGGAAAGTTATAGGCTTGTACATACATCTGCATTGTAATACCACAGAAATTTTAATACATAGCTCAAGGTTTAGGGAGTCTTCTGGGCTTTAAAGGAATATGTCGAATTTGACATGTTTCCTAAATGAAATTTTTATAATTAAAGTAATTATCTGGTGTTGCTTTGTATTTCCAAATGAATGCATATTGTGACCTATATAGCATACGATAAAGACTGTAATTAATGCAGAATATAGTAGGGGAAGCTAGTGGAGTATCTCTAAACCACCTGTGTTATTTCTTTTTAACAAGAATTTTGTTGGAAATAAAAAATATATATTTTCTAGAATAGATACACATAAAAATGTTCTTAAACAACTTATAAATAGGTTATAAAATGGATTTAGTTTCTCATCACTTACCCTGTAATGGTCAAGGTTGTCTTCTGGAGTTGGGAGACCCATGTAACGTTCTGTATACACTGAGTCTGCGATGAAAAAAAATTAAAAATAGTTAATTCATACAATAAACTTTTCTTTCTCTTATTGGGTTACTTTATGTGCTTTCATATGTCATAACTTGTGCGTGGGTCTGTAGCATCCCCCTCAGGAGTGTCTCTTCGAGATCATTTTTATTTGGCTTGTTAATGTAGCCAGACACCTGCTCAGACTCATGCCTTTCCATACTCAGCTGGAACCAGTGAGGGGTAGAGGGAGATCAAACTAGATGATCTAAACCTAGTCAACAACCCATCTACAGAGGGCGCCTGGGTGGCTCAGTTGGTTAAGCATCTGCCTTTGGCTCAGGTCATGATCCTGGGATCCTGGGATCAAGCCCCACATCGGGCTCCCTGCTCAGCGGAGAGTCTGCCTCTCCCTCCCCCTCTGCTCTGCCCCTCCTCCCGCCCCGTGCTTGTGCTCTCTCACTTGTGCTTTCTCAAATAAATAAATAAATCTTTGAAAAAAAGATCCATCTGCAGACATATCAAGTGCTAAGTGCTGAAAAGTCAGGGCTTTTAACATTATCATTTGATTCTTTCAAAGAATCTTAATTAGGAAGTCACTTAATGCCTCAACTGTCTTGAATTTTTGGTCCTGACACAAGCATATGCCCTAATTTTCTTTTGGAAACCCCTTATAATGTTCAATTACTAGTTGCTTACTTAAATCATATTTTTTTGGCAGCTTAAAATTCACTATAACGAAAACAAAGAATTAAGTTATCATTTATTCGCTGTATATCCCCATATTAGCTCAGCTACTCCATCACAATGTGAGGTAAACATTTGGTTTTGTTCATTTTGTGGCAAGCCCTCAATTTTGGCATTATAATAGTTGTGTATTGTGAAATAGATCACATTAATATCTGCTGAAATGATGTAAGCTTTTTTATCTATAAATATGGCTGAAAACAGGATACATAACTGGTTTGGTTATTTTGGATAATTAAACATATTTTTGCCCTATTTAAAAAAATTTTATAGATATATCCTAAAATATACATGAGAAAATTTATAATTTACTGTGGCTACATTCCAAAATAACTTTAAAAACTGAAGTAATTGCTTTGAAAGATGCCCCCTCCAGTGACCAGATTATTGTAAATAGATTAAGAATAGAGTAATATGCTGTCATTGTGCTATTTAGGTTAATGGTTTGAATTTCACTGCAATTGTACAGGTAGTTCAATACTAATCTCATTAATTCTTTAAATGAATATATCATCTAAACAACAACCTTAAGCAACATTCTAACCCTTTTTGAAAGACTGGCATCATTAAAAACTACATTGATAATGAGTGTTAGTTATTCCACATGTGTTCTTTATGCCTCTTCTATGGAAATCAAAATACTGTCTTTCAAAATGAATAACAGCAATATTTCATCCTTTTGATTAAAAGGAATATAGACTATATGTAATTTTATATATCTAGAGGACACTAATATAGAAAATATAATATTTTAAAGGACATTTAAAGATACAAGATCTTCATAAAATGTTCATATCTTTTAACATTTAAAATGAGTAATTTAGGTTGGATATGTGAGAGGAGGTTTGAAAATAGCCTTTAAGGGCAAAATAAACTTTTCCTGAAACGGCAGCAGACTTCCAATTCTTCTTGCCCTAGAACATAGTACCCCTTTCTTATTATGTTAGGTTAACATTTGTAAGAAGATCTGAAATTCATTTTTTTCTTTTTTAGAGAGAGAGTGTGTGTATGAGAGTGTGTGTACCAGCAAGGGGAGGGGCGGAGGGGCGGAGGGGCGGAGGGAGAAGGAAAGAGAGAATCTTAAGCAGGCTTCATGCCCAGCGCAGGGCTAGATCTTAAAACCCTAAACTGAAATCAAATGCCTAATGGCTGAGCCACCCAGGCACCCCTAAAATTTTAATAGGATTTTAAAAATGCATAATACAGGTGTTGTAAACTTTTACAAATGCACCGTTGAAATGCCATTTATGTACTCCTTCTATCTGATCTTTGAGTAAAATTGTTCAAATTAATACATATGTAAGAACTCTAGAAAGTGCCTATGTCTAGAAAATTGAGTTGGTCCAAATATATTTAATGAAGTTCTCTTATCATTACACTTCTAAACGCACAAAGATTGCTTCTATTATTTTATTGACCACCAGAGGTCTCCAAAAACAAGCTATCCAACAGAACAATTAGTATAAGCAGGAAAGTAATTCTAAGAAAACAAATCCATTGTGTGCAGACTAAGTCAGAAGTATGCTTTCCAGTTTTTTTTTTTAACAGAAAGATAGCAATATTTATTTATTTATATGTTTGTTTGTTTATTATTTTTTACATTGGCTTCTCTTGACTTAGCCTTTAAAAAAGGGTTTCCTACAAGATTGGTACTACCATACATTAGGGCATAAAATATGTAATGAGCATATTTGTTTCAATGAGTCTATCGCAGAAAGGACTTGAGATGGGGTCTGAAAAGGTACAGGAAAATAATTCATCTCCTCACCACCTCGCTTTCCCCCTACTAGTGTTCCAATGCTCACTCTCTCCCCCTGGAGAATTACAGGCTTACACATGTATGATGCCTTATAGAATTATTTTCAATGACAGAAGAAGCGATCCTAGAGTGGCTTTCACTAACTTAGAGACGGTGGGGGAAAAAAACACACAAACAACCTAGGAATTCCCCCATCCTTACTCTCGTCTTTCCAACCAAACCCTACTTTATTTGACCTTTACTGGAAGAAAAAGAAATACATGCTTCTTTTATTCTGCTAATATGTGAAGCCCAAAAACTCAAACTAAAATAAGGAAGGGCTTATCTGCAGAAATGTAGCATTAGGGATGTTTTGACATTTAGAAAACAGAATTTGTTGATAACTAAACGTATAGATAACAATACCACAGAGCCTTTCACAATAGCAGAGTAAGTGAGATCATTCGATTATAGGTTATCTGTAAAGCGCATCTACAATGAATCAGCTTATTTCCTGTAGAAACAGTGAAACTCAAAAAGGAATGGTTTTGTCATTGAAATTTTAAGGTCAACACTCTGTATCTTTTTGTACCTGAAAGTAATTACATACCATAGTACTCCCACCGTGAAACAGGTGCCACGGCTATCCCACACTTGAACACGCCACTGCCGGCTCCCAGGACCATTGAGGTTACGTACCCTCCATATGACTAAGGAGTGGAAATGGTTATTTTTATGGAGGTAAAGGAATTCAGGACATATGGTAAGCGAGTCGCAGTTTCCATATTTCTCACATCTTTATATACTGTGCCTCTTTAGAGATAGAAAGCATGGTAGAGAAGGGCTTAAATTGGCCTTAATTGGACAATATCTAAAGACTACACTTTCGGAGCCCTGGTCCCTTTGCTTGATAGGTCTAAGTGGGAAAAGCATCAAAAATTTGCTGGGTAGTACTTAAAGAAAAAAAAATCAATAAACACTAGATCTTTCCTGACTTTGACTCATGAGAAAAATCACCCTCCTTCCTTCTCTCCTGCTCTCCTTCCCCACCCGTCTCCCTCTTTCTCTCCCTTCCTTACCTCCCTCACCTCCCTCCTTAATCATAATGAGCAAAGATGTACACCTGACTAGCAGGGACTCACCGGCCTAGAGAGCTAAGACATTTTATCGGGGTCTTCTTAGATTAAAGATACGTGATTTTCATCTCCAAATATTCACATGCCAAAGATAAATTATGGTGCTCCAAATTATATTCACTAGCTATATGGACACAGATTCATAGCCAAACAACTACTCACCCAGCCCCAAATTGCAATCCGCTTGTCATCCACAAATCCCATTTTTGAAAATTGTCTAAAACACATGGAAGAAGTCCATGAATTAGTATTGCACTGTGTACAGAGAACTAGGGTAAGTAGTAAGTTCACAAATGTGAAACCCTGCCATTTGCTCTCTATTTCCTCCTGTTGGAATCTAAGATTAATTACGGCCAGCAATCAGATAAACACCTGAGATGGATGTATATCTTTTTTTTTTTTTAACTTAAGAGCCAGATGAACAAGGTTTACTTTTGTTGGAGTCCATAAAAATTTTGTCTGTGTGTTTGTGTGTGTGTTTGTGTGTGTGTGTGTGTGTGTGTGTGTGTGTGTGTGTGTGTGTATGATTCACAGAAAACAAATCCTGGCAGTTTTTTTCACAGCTTTATATAAAAATTTGCAGCCCAGATGCACTTTTCTTTACATAATTGAATTTAAATCTCTCCAGATGTTTTTCAGTTGAAGAGAGGCTGCCCCCGCAATGGAGAAATAGAGGCGCATGGAAAACATCTGGGTAGGGCTTAGGAAGGTCTCTGGGCCCCCTACCTGAGAACTTAAACACCATTCTCTAAATAAATCCCTTCTTTTGCTGGGTGTTGATTAGTTAGCTCGGCACCATTAAGTAGGAAGCAGTTTTTCCTTGATGGATTAAGAAGTCTTTTTGCCACAAAATTGGGCCCCGGATTTGTATCCAGTTAAAGAAATGAGAAAAATGTTTTATGCACCCACTTTTTAATCTTAGCCTTACAAGAAAAGGTAATTTGTTTGCTTTAAGAAGCAATCTAGCATATGGGGCTCTTTAACTTGTAGTATTCATGGGGGTGGGGGTGAGGACCCTTGCACTGACCTATATGTGACTTTGGGAATTTTTGTGTTTTCAATTATAGATATATGCCTTAGGCAGCCCTGAGTTAAGCAATATTAGAAAAAAATTAAGTCGTTTTCAACTCATTATCTTCTCCCTGTAAACTTTTAAAACTTAGAACACATATATGTATAGAAATGTGCACCAAATCATGAGTGAACAAGTCGATAAACTTTACAGAATGAGTATATCCTTGGACTGAGATAGAGTGCAGTACTATGCCCCAGAAGCTTCTAGGTCATTACCCCTTGCAGAAGGAAAAAAATGAAACGTTTTCCTTTTATAAGAGTCCAATTTGTGCCCGGTTTTGGACTTTATATAAAACGGGTCATGCAGGAGATACACTTTTGTGCCTGGCTTTTTTCATTCAACAGTCTGTGAGATTCATCTACGTTGCTGTATATAGTTCTTTTTAGTTGCTGAATTAGTATTCTATTGCATAAATACACTACATCTCATTAACTTTTTAAACTAGAGATGTATATTGTGGATACCCAATTCTGTAATTTTGGATCTGAGAAGCCCTGGACACTCTGCCCTCTCTCACAGAGGATCAGTCTGGATAAATAAAACTTTAGTTTTAAAATATCACAGCCCTACTCCTGAACCAGTTTATCCTCTGTCTCTAATCTAAACTTCCCTTTCTCTCTACTTTACTTTAAAGGAAAATAGCTAATCATTAACTTTGGTGTAAGACACTTAGGGATACTTAGTAAATTGCCCTCTTTTCTTCTCTTTGGTTGTTTCTTGTTTTTAAAGGCATTCTCCTCCACCCATTTCATCATTCACCATTCTTCTGCATTTCCTAGTTTATGATTTCATAACATTATTTTAAATTGACCACCTGTCATGCTTCCCTAGACATTCAGGCAGTTGGTTATAGAAACTCAAAGACTGCATTTCCCATTTACCAGTTGAGTGCAGTTGAACTGGAGCATGCATTTGAGACTCCAATTGAGTTGGAGACCTCGATTCAGATTCTGACTTCCCCTGGCAAATTACCTAACCTAAGAGGCTGCATTTTTTACCTGAAGCATGGGGTACAGATCCCCACTTCATAGGGGTGCTGTGCCGTTCCCATGACAATGCGGGTAAAACCTTGCCCATTACGTGGTAACCATTATCCATCAGTAACATCTCTCTTAAGCCAGACCACATCTATCTGTGGACTCATGACTGGAAAGCGCAACAATGAGATGTGATTCATACTTAATGAAACCCTTACAATTGTGAGTGAAGATGGCTGTGCTCCACAATTCTCCCCAAATGGCAGAGTAACCCTCAACCAGACTGTAGGAGCCACTCTTAGGACTTGATAGCTACCCCACGTTAACACACAGCCTCCTACACTATAAAGGAACACTGGACTCCTTCACTTAACCTTGACTACAGGGATGGTCCACTTGTTTAGTCAGATGTTTACTCGGGGCTGCATTTATCCCTCAGATGAATGTCTGACATCTATCCCTTGACAGATGAATGTCAAGTCTCTGCTCCCAGAAGGAGGTAGCACATATACCAACTCCCTTTCTAGAGTCACAGAGAGGAATTTAAGAAATATGTCTTTTTTAACCTTTATATACGTCTCTAATGACATACATTTTTATCTAAGTGTGGTATCTTCACTGAAAATGTACCCCAAAGAAAGAAGATTCATCCAAGGACACTTTGCATTCTTTCCACTTTACAACTTTAAAATATAAATCGAGAGGGAAAAATCAGATGACCTTCGGATTCATCTCCTACTTACTCACCTGGCTGCTTCAATTTGATCTTCAACTTCAAATGTTCCCAGTCTTCTGTTGACTGCGTGCATGATCTTGTCTCCTTGGTAACCACTTCCTCTGCCATCAAAGCTGGCTACAATAACGTTTTCTGTGCTTGCAAGGTAAGTAGCCCAGTTGAGTCTGAAGACAGCGTCTGCTTTTTGACTACACGGGCCTGCATATCTGTGAAAAATCCCAAATTGTTAGCCGTTGCGGTTTTTCTGAATCAAATGAGGCGTGCCTGTATTTCTACTCCCTGTGGACAAGAAATGTGCATCTTTCCCGACCACAAGCCTGAAACTGTGCCAGCCACCAGGGTGTCCACAATGCTTCCTCTAAAACTTGGCAACATGGCTATAATGGCTGTGTGTTTCCTTCAAAGATGCCCATTGGTTTTATCTTTGAAGACTGGTATCAAACACAGACTTCAGAGGCCAACATTTTCTAAGTCGTATATTTCTTGGAAATCAAAGAAATAAATACTTAATAGTTGGGACAGGGATGTTGTGTTATGAAAAATTAATGAGGATGACAATCGCTGCAGCTTTGACTATATTCTTCCCCCCTGGCTTGCAAGCACTCCTACTCTACGTGTGCATTTCCTAGGCTGGAACTTCCTAAAGGGTGGCTTGACTGCTGTGTAATCCGCACCCCCTCTCCCCAGCCCTGCACAGGGTGCCACACTCAGGCTCCACAAGTCACTGTGGAGTGGGCCAAGGTATGCATGACCACTAGTCCTTAAAACTTCAAAGGAAAAAAGAAGTGGACGGTCTTGAAAAACCTGTACGTTTTTATTCCGCACTCTATTCATTAACGAGCTTAACTCCCTGCTAGCTGCAATCTTTACAGGCTAGACCCCACTCCCACGCAGCTGGATGCCCAATCGCCATCAAGCCCTCTCATTTCCATTTGTTAATCAAGGCAATTCCCTATAGCTCCTTGCATCTCACTTAAATATGTCATCTTTGCACAATCTACGGGACTCCTGGACCCAGACCTGGTCTGGTACCTCTCCCTCCCAGCCCATCCCTCTTACTGGTCTGCTCACTGCTCCCTCCACTCAACATGCCTTTGCTCTTCCTAGGGATGGAAGTCAAAAGAACTTTGGTTTTAAACAAAACATTGTATTACTTTCATCTGAAACATTCTAACTTTAAAAAGAAGAAGCCATTCATGCATTTCTTGGGCGAGTAAACATTTTTTAACAACATGTGAAATGCCTTGGTCCTTTCAATGATACTAGATTTCGAAGGGGAAGAGCTTCCCTTAATATTAGTTATGTATCAAGTTACCCTACCCGCTAAGATTAAACAACACTATTTTTAAAAATAGAAAACAAAGATTTAAACATCTAAGGATGGGAAGAGGAAAACAACTAAAAAGAAAAGGGCAGTAAATTTACCATGTGTTTTTAAACTTTCCTAAATAAAGTGGAGGTCTAGCTATTCCTCACTGGGGAGTTGAAGAGGATAAAAGTCTCACTCTTTTCTAAAATATCTGTTTCCAGTATTGGGGCTAAAGCCTAAAGCAAATTAATGTCACTCTAGTCAAAGTTAGGCTTACTGAAAATGAAACAGCACATCCGGAACTTTGAAATAACCTTTTTTCTTTCTTTGAGCTTTTATGTTTTGTTTACATGGAACTGTAAATACAGTGCAACAAGGTTGTGTTGGATGCTAACACCCCCTCTTTTGTGGGTGGTGGTGGTGGTTACAACAGAAAAGTGATGTTCTTGAGTCTCAGTTTCCTTTTCTGTATAATGGGCCCAACAGAACTCCTCACATCGGTTTGCAAATTACCTGGCAGGTAGCAGGCACCCGGCACATTTTTTGGCTTGTTTCTCTTATTTTTAATCAAGGATATGAGACAATCTAGGACAGGAGGAGTGGCCTTGTGCCATTATGTGTGAGTTCAGGGCAATTTTAGAAGGACTGAAGTAAAATGTATTCCCAGTCATTATCAAAAATATTTTACAAAGATGCCACGTTTAGAATTTGCATGACTTTACATTTACTGTTCAAAGATGTGTGATTTCAGAACTTTCTCTGAGACTTGAAAAAGTCTGGATTATAATGAATAATTTCCTATATCACATCTTCTCTTCACCAAAGAGGGGAATGAAAAATACCAGGCAGTGGTATTTCAGGAACTAAAAGAAGAGAAACCTGATGTACTAATGCATCAAAGGCCACTAATGGCGATATTTGGGCAAGTTTGGGGGTAAGGAAGTTGTGAAGACTATTAATACCCATCTCTTGCATGTTAAAATGTCTATGAGGTAAGGATAAAACTGGTGACCTGAAAATTCCTTTGGAATTCCCCTGTAGTTCAGAGAAATAAATCAAAACTAAAGGACCGTATGCCATTACAACAGAAAGGTGTCTACTTTCTCCATTCGAAAGATGGTAGAAAACAAAGGTTTGGATTTGTGATTGCAAAATGGAAGAAGGAAATAGTAAAATTCTTCACAATGATTCAGGAAGAGACAAAGGATACATTCGCCTCTAATTTTCTGCTAAGCTGCACTAGGTAAAAAATGTCCAATGATTAACTTTTAATTTGTTCCCTCCTCTTGAATACTTACACATCTATTAGTAGAGGATATTTCTTGGATGTATCAAAATGAGGAGGCAAGATCATCTGATACCAGAATTCTAAACAAACAGAAAGATGGATCAGTAAATTAAGAGTAATTATTAGCACACGATCTAGGTTTCTTTGCAGTGATAAATCATCGTTAGTATTCAACAATTTGTTAAATTATAATAGAAAAAAATGAACTGCTTGGAATCAGTATGCTTTTAAGATATAAAAACATTCTCTTTCCGGTTAGAATACTAGTTAAGATTAAAGCAATAAAGTTGTTTCTAATATATCTAATTAAATATATTGGTGCCTTGTAAAATAAAAGTGCATCTTAGAATTGCTAATGTTTTGTTTTTATGATTCTGTTCTTTGGCATCTGATCTACTTATCTAGTTTGTTTATGGCTTATGTTCTAAGTTTTCCTCCAAAATGTTTTCCTCTTCTTGAATTTCCTTGAAGATGTTTAGGATTTTTAGTTGGCCCTAACTCTATTTTAAAATTCTGATTTAATAACATTTTTGTAATTCTTATTGCCATCCCAGACCGCAAAGCTGAGTTCCCATTTCCAGCTCTGTGTCTCACAGAATGAAATCAGGCTTACACGCAGCAGACTGTTATGTACGTTCTATATGATCTGCAGGTCTGTTTAATTCTCTCTGCTTGACCTAGCATCAGTCTAATAAAATCTGTCCCTAAATAATGAATTGGTTTCCTTTGTTCCCCAAATCAAGATGAGTTAGATTAATAAATCTTAAAGAGAGAGAGAGAGAGATTGAGAAATTTTCTATATTTTAATCAGATTATTTCCAGCTTCAGTAGATTTAACCTATAGGGGAAAAAAATCCGTATCTCTAGAGCTGCTGTTTCTTTATGTTTATCTTTCTTTTCTTCCTTTCTTTTTTTTTTTTTGTTGTTAAAATTATTTTAGTTGAGGAAAAAAGAAAGGTTTAAGAGTAAATCTCTATATAGATAGATTTCCCTTCAATTTGTATTTGTATTTTAAATATATGCCTTCTGACTAAATGTGCTTATAAGAATAAAATTTAAGTCTTTATTATTTTTCAATAGAATGTCAAACCATGTGTTGATCATGATGTTTTTAATAAATATGCCAAACCCACCATTTGATCTCTCCTTTGTTTGAATTTGTACTAGTGGATTAGAAGTGTTTTAGTTCCATCTTTCTGAAGATGCCATTTTTTCTTTAGGTGTGGGGGCGTGCTTTGTAATCCCCAGTCCCACCTCCTACTGCCCCTCCTCCTCGACGCCCCCACCACCCCCCTTCCCTGGAGTTTGAATGTACAACAGCCTCCCAGCTGGACTCTCCAGCTCTGGCAGATCCAGACTCAGTGTCCTCCCTACCAGGTTGCCCATCCAGTCCTGTGGTTTTCCCTGAGCCAAAAACTTTCGGGGTCCCCCACTGTTTGTCAAATCTCAGTATGCAGGGCCTTCCGCACCAGCAACCCAGGTAGCTCTCCGGAACTCTAAGTCCTTGCCCATCATGCCAGCAGCACCAGCATCACCTAAGAGCCAAGTACAAACTCTAAACCCTGGGCTCACCCTGCCTTGCTGGATACCAAGACTACTGTTAACAAGGTGCCGGGTGATTCATATGCACATTCAGTTTCAGCAGCCCTGCCCTAAGCTCTTCTTCACAAGCACCCTCTACTCCCCAGCGCTTTTCCTGCCACTTAAAATTGGATGGATCTTTTCTACTGGATCTTACTGAATCTTTTTTTATTAGTATCCTATATTTAAAAAAAACTTAAATCAGTCCTGATGGATTTCCCCATCCCCCATGAGTAATTAGCTCTTAATGGGAAAAACAGCCAACAAATACAAATGAACAAACTACAAAATTTCCTACTCAAAGAACACTCTCCCCAGCCCCCCCCCCCCCCCCCCCCCCCCCCGTTCTCAGTGGTTCCCGCACACCATCCCTGCTCAGGCTCCCAGCACAGGGACCAGGCTAACTATGGCAAAGAGAAAGTTAGGAAAAATTCAAGATTTCTCTCCCGAGATTGAAGTTTTAACATTTTACAGCCAACCCTAATTTTTTTATACAATCACGTCAGATATTTTTTATCTCTTTGGGTTAAAGGTAAAATATATCAGGATATCATTAAGTTAAACACTCAATTAATACTTAATAGCAGAACAGAGTTACTAACAGAATGAAACATAAGCAGCAATAGTTTTTTCAAAGACTAAGCAGCATTTTTTTCCAAATGCCTTCATTTTAACAGAATAACTTTTACATAGAGTGGTATTGTATTTTAAAACAAAAAACATGTAAAACTAGCAGTTTTCATGACAGAATATTTCATAGAAAAAAATAACCTCAAATTAGATGTACATATAATAAAATGTGTATTTTCAGATCAAGTTACCACGTTTAGTTATATTTTTTATTGGTGTTTCCAGGAGCAGTTCTGTTCCCAAGGAGATTTAACTTACTTGTTTCATTCAAAATAATGAAATCCAGTTTTTTTGAGGGCATCTGGACATCCTGCAGCATTTTATCCAAAGCTGAATTGTCTTCCAGGACTCTCAGTTCTAAGCAAATATTGCAGACGGCAGTAATTTGTTACAATGTGAAGAATTCAGATTGTGCAAAGTGCTAACAAACAAGTAGCAATTCACTGATGGGACTATACATACTTTGGATTATAAACCTTGAGTTCAAATCATTTTTTTAAACACTCTAAAGCCAAAAAAAAAAAAAAAATCCCACTACGCTAAGTACCTGTTGATCTTATTCACACACACTTTTCTAAAAAGCAAAGGAAAGGTGAAATGCTAGGAAATACCTTTATCGTCGCTGCTACTATGCAGAGTATAGAGGGGCAGACCAGGGCCTGTTAACAGGAAAAATGTTTTAGGTGAGGCTTTTTAAGAAAAGAAGATAGCATATTTTTAAAAAAATGGCCATTTGATACCATTTAACTTTGATATGATTTTAATACCATTTAGCTCTGACAGAATAAAAATCATGGTAGATAAGGTGCTTACTAAGTGTTAGCTGTTTTTCCTTTTCCTTGGAATAGGTGCAATTTGAGATTAAGAAGTATTACCGGAAAGGCACAAGGATCAGTACAATGAAGCAGAAAATGAACCTCTGGCCCCGTTGAGTGCCTTGGGCATGCTGCCTACAATTTCCTCAACTGTGAACTAAACCCACCAACCCCTGACACGGCTGGCTATCTTTCCTTCCCAGCCCTAAATCCACAATCTGGCAATGACCACGCCGGCTCTCGGGCCCTGCCCCCTTAGGGCGGAGCTCGGGAGCCAGCCTGGGGGTGGGGGTGGATTTCCCTCCCGCTGCCCCCACCCCACTGAGTCCTGAGCCAGGGGGCACATCTGCACAGTGCCTGACTTGGATAAGCGATTCATTTCTGGCATGCAAAAGTGTTTTTCTCGCATGAACATATCTTCACTATTTATCCCAACTGGTAGTTGCAGACTAGAAGGTAATGTATAGAAAAGCTATTTGGTGAGCTATTTAATTTTGATGCATTTAGATAATATTAATGTTTTACTCTTGATCAGAACCACAGTGAAGGCATTATAAAGACCTGGGTTTGAATCCTGGCTTCCCTGCTGTGTGACAACATATCTATGTTCCATCTCTTTACATATAAAAGGAGAACAGTATCACTTTAAAGAGTTTTCTTAAGAATCAAACAAGACTACAAATATAAAACTTTTAGCACAGTTCCTAGTATGAAATGTGTGCCCAAGAAATGACTAAAAACAGTCACAGGAAAAAAAAAAAAGAAAGAAAGAGAAGAGAAAGATGTAATAATGAAGAAAATGTGCTAGTAAATAAAGATTCAGATAGCTGGTTTGGAGATCTCTTTCCAGCGAGGGACAGTTCTTTCTCAGAATATCCAGATTCTTTCATTTTGAGAAGTAATCTAGCATAGGGCTTATTGGAGGGCTGAGGAGGGCTCAGGAGATGGAGACCTGTGCTTGAATCCTGTTGTGCCTCTTATTAGCTGTGTGACCTGTGGAAGTCACGTTGCCTGTCCTTTCCAAGTTTCTTCATTTATAATAAAGAAAACAATAATAAAATAGCAACAGAAGATGGAGCAGTGAGCAGGTTGGGTGACAGACACTACTCACATACATTTTCTCATCTAAAGGGGCAAGTGCATAAAATAATAATTAAAAAATCTACAATAAAAAAGCTACAATAAAAAATCTATATGTATATATGCACACACACACACACACATATATATTATATATGTGTATAAAATGAGGTGCCTCTGCTATACCTAGTCTCCAGTGTATGTGTATATTTGTTGTGAGTTCAGTCAAAAGCAAGCCATGCAACTCTCTTGGTTAGAAGGAGAGGAAAGGTGGTTAACTTACCACTTAGATGTGCTTGAAGAGAAGGGGACTTATGGGATTTCAAGAGCTCCTCAGATTCAAGAGGAGAAAACTAAGCAGGGCAGAAAGAATGTTTCCCAGACTGGACACAGAAAGGGATAGTTGGGCAGAATGAGTCAGGATGGGGACAGCTGGGTAGCTCAGTCGGTTGAGCATCTTCCTTCGGCTCAGGTCATGCTCCCAGGGTCCTGGGATCGAGCCCCACATCGGGCTCCCTGCTCCGCGGGGAGCCTGCTTCTCCCTCTCCGTTTGTTTTTCCCTCTCCCTCTGCTTCTCCCTCTGCCTGCAACTCCCCCTGCTTGTGTGCTCTCTCTCTCTGATAAATAAATAAATAAGTAAATAATCTTAAAAAAAAAAAAAAAAAAGAATGAGCCAGGCGGGTGGTAAGAATATTGTCTGAAGAGCAGAAGGAATGAAATCAGCTGGTGAGTGGAAGGCCGGAATGGAAGGAGCCACTTCTGATAGACAGACATGATGTTCTCCCTCCCCTTGGCAGTTCACACTTACCTGAACACCTCAGTTGATAGTACTTTGCCTCTTTACTAAATGATACAGAATAGTACTGACACCTTTCTGGATTCAGCTCACAACTCAGGCATGTCACCTTTGTGTAGTCACTCAGTTGGATTCTGTAAACCAATGGTGGAAATTAAGTGCTTAATGAAAGGATAAATGAAAAGACAGGATTGAATAATGCCATATTCTAGTTTCAAAGGTATCAGAATGCCAAAACAATGCTCAAAAACTTTTTTTAATGTGCAACAAATACATGGATTAATTCATAACAACCTCAAACCTCCCATTGTTTGGGAATAACACAAAACATCTAATAAAGTCATTCTCTGCTGTTGACACCTGGGGTGTAATTTATAAGGGAATGAAAGTGCTCAATTACAATTCTAGTTAGTTAAAACACAGAAAAACAAAACAAAACCAAACCCAGAAATCGTTCTTCAGCTAAAAAGACTCAAGTCAATAATTTGATTTAGCTCTTACTTATAAAGATTTCTTCCTCCTGGCATTCCTTTATATTCATTACTAATGTAGTATCTGGGAAGAAAACAAATTAAATATATATTGATTATGTTTTTTAAGAAAGTCAAGCACCCTCTATTTAACTCAACACCAAACATTCATGCTGGTCCCTCTCGCATCCTTCTCCCCTGCCCCCTCTCCCCCAGAAGCCTATTTCCTGTCATCTCTAAATAGATTAGGAGATCCTATTTTTTAAAGTAGACTAAAATATCTGAATGCAGGGATTGTTCCCTTCACTAAAGTGACAAGTAAAAACTCAAAAAAAAAAAAAAAAAAAGTCTTTTGTGAGAAAAGTGCCACCGGACAGCCAGCCTGAAGTTTGAGAGCCCACGTACCTATATTGTTTTCCATATTTGCTATTTTACAGCACAAACTACTAGACGGCAGGAGCCCCATCTTTCTGAGAGCAGCTGAGCCACTTCTAAAGAGGCCTTTTAAAAACTTCTTTGGGCAGTGGCAAAAATCCTCCGTGGTGAGACCCAGTAATGAATTATAGAAGTGCCTTAGATTCTAATGAAAAATAACACTCCTTTGCCACCAACTCATGCATAGTAGTTGACAGCTTCTGCAAAGCTTTCCATTTTCCAGAGTAAGGTCGAGATACGGACAGATAAAATAGCCTCTCCAAGCCTTCCAAAAATTTGGTGCCAGTTAAAATTTAACCAAATGCCCCTGATTCTGATTCGGTGTTCCAAGACATTTTAAGAAAAAGAGGCTACAGCTCTTCTAATGCAAAGCAGGTAAGAGCAAGAGGTAGAGCTGCTTGGTGGCATGGTATCAAATCTGCCAGGCGTATGTGAAAATCATTAAGGCTTCCGTATGCTAAAAAGAAAAAAAGTACTGAACACATTCCAAATAGACTATTCTTTATTTGTAGGAGATTTTCCCCTACTTCTGGGCAAAGAGGATGTGATTACGACAAGTATGTTTACATCCTATCAATTATTAGAATACTCACAGGTAATCACTGGTAAGAGCTTCTATCCCGATGACTTCCCAAGCTCCTTTTGTAATAAATGTGCAACCCTAATGGGATTTTTTAAAAAGACATTTATTAACCTCTCTAATCGAAGTGGAGGGTTGAATCTTTTACAGCAGCAATTTAGATAATCTTGGGTCTTCTTGGGTTTCCCCTCTCTATCCCATCATCCTCCAGATACCCCTTTGGAATTTGAATTAGCCAGATTATTAGTACCTCCTGATTGACTTTACCAAATGTTTCCACTTCAAGTTAGTCTCATTAAAAAAGAGATCAACCTGAAATAAATTACGTAAGAATACTTACTTGCTTATCTATTTGGAATAGGCAAATGTGCTTGTAGCCATCTTGGTTGCTGATGATCTTGTAGAACCTCTTCCCGTCGGAGGTAAAATGAGGCTCTGAAGGCCTAAACTACAGAATAATAGAAAACAAAAAAACAGATTAGAGCGCATCAGTCTCATCTCAGTACCAACTTTAATTTTTCCAAGTCCTCTCAACACCTCTGCCCAAAACCCATGCTTCATTTACTTGCCAAGAGAAACCAGAGTGTCTCAAAAGAAAATTCTCCTTCTAGAAAATGCAGACAAAAAGATCTCTCAGGGAATTTTTTGTGCAGAGTAAATGAGAGAAAGCACATAAAGAGGCTTACGCAGGACTCTCAACACATATCAGTGGTATTGTTATCTCTGGACATCTCTCTGTGGAGGATAACTCTATGACTTCTGGCTATAAATGTGCAAAAATTAGCATTCATCTTTCAGTTTTAAGAAGTAAATTTCCTCAGTGTCACAGATGTGCTTTCTTGAAACAGACTATTATTATTATTATTATTATTATAACTGGGAGCTTGTACATCTTAATCCCCTTCACCTATTTTGCCCATCCCCCACGCCGCTTCCCTCCTGGCATCCATGAGTGATTGCTTTCTGTTTGGTTGGTTAGTTTATTTGAACAGACTATTATTTTTACTGTTTCAGAAAAGAAGCGGTTTTTAATTTGAGGGCTTTGTCCCCTCCTTTTTAAATACTTATTTCTTTTTGAAAGCCAGCAAGGGTTTAACCATTTCTGGACCGGATACTATAAGGAATGTCTGTCGTACATTTCACATGGAAAGATTCTTATAGTTACCATTTTTATTGTAAGTCTTTTCATTCTGCTAAGTAGGATCAACAATTTACCAAAAAAGTAGTTGTATGGAAATATAGTATAAAATTTCCATTTTTCACAGTTCAATAAAAGATAGTTCTCAGAACATAATGTAGTTTAAGCAGAAGAATATCTATCCCAGCCTGAAGGGAATATGTCGCTTTACGACTTCGATTTCCTTCCTACATTTGAGAGCAGGTAGGAGATGGTCTTTTAAAATTGTTGGTTCACTTTACCCTCGATGTTTCCTCTCTTATCAGCTCCCATTTTGGGAAGGAAGAAAAACGCTTCCCTCTTCTCTTTAGTGATTCAAAGTGGATTCATTTCTGGAGCAAGCTGAGGCGTGCAGTGCACTTGGTGTTCTCATTACAGCTCTCTGAAACACATTCCCCTCTCTAGACCTGTGTTCACAGCCTCATCTTTTTAATACATTTCCCTGTTTCCCCTGGATGGAGTTGTGCCTAGTAGAAATGTGTGAAAAGTGGCATCTGTCTGGTTAAATACAGAGAGGAAAAAACATATTTTTTTCAAAGAGTCGTGAGGAAGTGTAGCATGTCTCTTGCCATGGAGGAAACCACTTTTCATGTTGGCAAACCTCTCCCCTCTGCCCAATCAATGCCTGAAGAGAAGGGACGTGTGAATGCTATCGGAGCTCTGAGCCCAGCTGGATGGGGTCCTGTTTCTGGACCAGGGGCCTCCCCTGTATACCCCAAGAGATGTGAATGAAATCTTTACTTTTTTTTTTTTTTTGGTCCCTTTGTTTCTCTCTTAAAGGAGACTTAACAGAAGGGATCGTAAAAATTAGGTGAGATTTGTTCATCATCTTTCTATGGGATGCCACAATGGCTGCAGATCCTCCGCTGACTTGTTTCGTCCCATGGCCCGGTAGCCACACGGTTGGTGATTCTGCCCAAGGCATAGTGCAGCGGGAGTGAGAAGCTTGACTAGTCTCTGCGGGTCACCGTCCTTTCTTGGATAAAACTGCGTCTGGGGCCTAGTAAAGCGTAAAGCCACACGAGTATGATTTCCTCCAAAGGGAGGTGCACAGCAGTGTTGCTGGACGGATACAGTCGCTGCCGAGTTGCTGCTGGATATAGTTGCATCTCCTTACACATTTGCGCAGGCGGTGGATGGAAGCCATGTTTTCTGCCTCCAAAGCACAGGACTTCAAAGATGAGGTCAACGAGTATATTCTGCGTCTTAGCTGCTTTTCAATAGCAGTTGCTTTTTAACTTTTCAGGAGCTACCATTTGCCTAGAGTATGTCTTTTGTTTTGTCTGCCCTCAAGTTTTCACTTGTCCCGTTCCTTTTTCCACCTGAGCATGTTCTATGTTCCCCATGAAAAACTATCTCTGCAGGGCGCATTTAAATATTTTGAGAAAGGGCGCCTGGGTGGCTCAGTTGGTTAAGCGACTGCCTTCAGCTCAGGTCATGATCCTGGAGTCCCGGGATCGAGTCCCACGTCGGGCTCCCTGCTCAGCGGGGAGTCTGCTTCTCCCTCTGACCCTCTTCCCTCTCATGTTCTCTGTCTCTCCTTCTCTCTCTCTCAAATAAATAAATAAAATCTTTAAAAAAATAAATATTTTGAGAAATTGGTCAAGTAATATCTCTATTAATAGCAAATAACATGGGGCCCCCCTTTGGTATATCTGCCAAATATCGAATAGCTCTGAGTATCTGATCCATACCACAAAAACCCTGTAACTCTTCAGCACTTACTCTTCCAACCCAGCCAGTGGTACTCATTTCAGCATGTTCTTGTGCCTAAGGAGGGAAAAATACAAGGCAGCGTTTCAGAGAGAAATAAGATACTAATTCTATTCTTTATCTGCAACTCGTGGTAACAGAAGCAAAACTGCACTTAAAATAATGGAAAACTATCTCCATTCATATAGTTGTATTCATGCTCAGATTGTTTTTATGATTGCATTAGAACAGTTACCTCTCTTGCCTAGAGCTCTGTCTTCCATATGTGGCCCTGGAAGCTCCCCCAGCATTTTTAACTCAACCCGTACCGAACAGAAGATGATGTCGTTTATCTTGCCTCCATCCCCACCGGCTTGTTCTGATGCCTTCATTCTTCTGCTTCGTGCCACCCCTCACCCAAGCCAGAGCCTCGGGAGTCACTGTGGATGCCTCCTCTCCTCACTGCCGCCTCCCCGGCCCCTGGCTCCTGGTTCTCTGACTTCTCTCCTCCTACTGCACTGTTACTGCCTTAGCTTCTGGTCTCGCCCGGTTTCGCTTGGCCCGTTGCCCTGACCTCTCCCGGTTGGAGACCCTGCTGCTCTTCTCCTCTTCCACCCTGCTCAAACCCCGCTGACCTCGTTTGGCAGCAGACAGTTCTATCCCATTACGATGCTCTCCTGTCTAACACCTAGAAATAGCTCCCCGTGTCTTACAAGTAAGTCCAAACTCCTCAGACCGGCACCTGAGCCTCAGCCCACCTCCACCCTCGGTTCTCACCATGGTGCCCCTCCCCAGCCCCTCATCCTCTGGAGCCCCAGACCCTGGCGCTCCCAGCCATTCACGGGATGCCTTTGCACAGCTTCTGCTCCCAGGGTCCTTGTGCCCTTCTCTGTCCCGGGTGCTCTAGGCCTCCCTTGTCATCTCCCATTGCCTGTCCTCAGTTGAGTGGATCGTCTTCTTTGGCCCTCCATTCCCTCTGTACTTTGCTTATACCCTTTTAGGGCACAATATCCTGATAGTAGGATGATAGAATTGGCAGGAAGCAAAGAGCTTAGGTTTTCTAGTTTGGATTCTGGCTGTCATGTGACCTAAGCAAGCTCCTTAACTTCACAGAACCTCTGTCTCCACAGTGTCTGGCTACTGTGAGTGTTCAAGAAACCGTAACTGTTATTACTGATTATCCTAATGGTATTCCCTATACTAAAACATACACATTTTGGGGACTGGCATGTTGTCTAATTTGTTTGTTTTTGTTTGTTTTAAATCCAGAGCTATGCACGGCATAGCATAGTAGGTAGGACGTAGGGACATAGTAGGTAATCAGTGTTTGCTGTATAAATAAACGAATGGGCAAATCAAGATATGGTGTGCCCAAGCTTTCGGAGGCAAGAATCTGCACTGTGCCCAACCAGGCTGGGAAATGTGTATGTGGGGGGGGGGGGGTAGTATGTAGGCACAGAGCCTATTACCAGAAAAGGGCTTGGAGTGGTGTCCTTCATATATGCCAGTAAACCTTCCCTGGACGTCGCCCCTCCTGAGGTTGCTGGTTCCCACAGGGGCTCTAATTCTGATTCACCAGCTTGGCTGAACCTTGTGGTTTCTTCTGGGGAATGCCCTGCCCCCCAGCACCTCGAGGCTGAATTAACACTCGCCTTTGTCTTAATGTTGCCCCCCCCCCTCCACCTGGTAGTTATCTATTGATGTTCTAAAGCTCTTGACTGCTGAAAGATAGTCACAGGGTGGTAAGAGATTTGTGTGGCCTTTTGATACGTGTTTTGTTTCACATATTCTCAGCCAATCATTCTCCGCTCCCCATATTTTCTCTATGGAAACACACTTTGTTGACCTTGCAGCCACTGGCCCTCTTGGGCTTTCTGAATTTTGACATCAAATTCTATCTTCTGCGTTTCCAATCACCACCCCCTCCCCAAGTGATACTATCCATAACTAAGACAGTATGACTGATGAGGAGAGATGAAATGGAAGTACCACCAGATATCAGATTCTCTAAAAATTCGTCAAGACTTACCCACTGCCTCAGGATCTGACATAGAGTCAGAAAGAAAAGAAACTCAAACTTTATTTCCTGATTCCTAACCATTCCCTCTCCCTGTTTTTATATAGTCCTTGGATCACATGTAGCTTTAGAAGCAGAACATCCCCCATTAAACCTTACCACTGTATTTCTCCAGTTGTTGGTGGAATTATCATAGTCACAAATATCCATGACTGAATAGTTCTGAATCCTTCGGAGCCACTGCAAGGAAATCCTTTCTTCATTTACCCATGTCACATCACACAAGTAGTAATCCCTGGAAGGAAGGACGGAAGGAAAAAGAGAGAGAAAGAAAAAGAGAGAGAGAATCACTATTTCCAGACCTTGGTACAGATAGACATTTTACTCAATGAAATCAATCTTAAGAGGCATATAATTTTGAATGGTTGTCAAAACAACTTAATACCACAATATTTTACCTTTTCTGAAAACTTAAAGTGTAATTTAGTTTTGAATGGAAATTAAAATATATCTGACAGGAAAAACAGCAGCTGACAACGTAACAGTGGCTTAGCAAACGTGACTCACACCACGGCGCAGGATTTTTCAAGTCCTCAACTTGGCCTTTAGTGGTGCCAGGAAGTCAAGGGTGACGTTTTCCCATCTCTTTTCTGCTGTCTTGAGAGAACATTACAGTGAAGCCAGAGACACTGGCTGAGATTCGAATATTTTCTGGTAATCTGACGCGTGCTTCTCCAGAAAATCCTTACTTTTAAGGGTGAAATTATAACTGACCCTTTTCTCAAGCTCGTTTTCAAAGGGGAAAAAAAAAATGACTCACATCTCTACAAACGTTGAAAATCAAATAATTATATTGTAAAAATTTTTTCTCAAAAGTCAAAACATGAACCATGTGAAAAAATCAAGGAACCGTAACATAAAATTTATACGAACGGAGATACCGCTAGCAATGCACCCTCCTCCAACACATACCTCTAAACGTTTTTGGAACTACCTTTTGATTTGCAGTGAGATGCATGGAATTCTCAATTTACCTTTCTGCTAGCCTACCTAAATATTTCCTCTGGATTGTTTATTTTATTTGCTCCTCCTAGCCCTCAGTGTGATTCTGAATGACCATTCTTAAATCATTGGTTTCCACTGTCTGATCAAAGCTTTGTTCTGTTTTGTCAGAAAATTTCCAAGAGGCTCTTTTCTCCCCCTTTCTTCCTGACTGGCCCTGGCCCCGTGGCCATATCCTCCTCATCACTCCGAACGCTCTAAAATGCTCCTTTGCTCTTCCCTTCACAGGCTGTGGCCACCCCTCCTTCTGTCTCTTTGCTGTCCTTGCCTGACCACAAGCTCTCTGAGGCACGGCCGCAGCTTTCTTGCTCCCAGGGTGTCCCCAGGCCCCAGCGGAATGAATACCCGGCACAAAATAGACACTGGAGCTGAAATTCTGTGGAATGCAGCGCTGACAAAGGGGAAAGTCCTATCGTGTTCTCTGTGGCCTCAATAACTCTGTCCTTCCTCAGAATTCACAGATCATGTCCTGTCTGCACTCCCTTCACAGACACGAAAGCAAACAGCCACTACTTACGAGCACTTAGGATGGATCACCACTTCACTATCCCCCCTCTATAGCTGGGGACACTTCCTGTGTTAATGTCCCCAGGGACACCTCCTGGCTGTCCCCGCTGCAAGCAGCAAGTACTGAAAGACCCCTTCACCCAGCAGCAAAACACCACCTTCCCACCAACAGGGACTCTTCTCCACTTCAGCCCTTTCTCTTGCTTATTAACAACCTATACACTATCCAGTCAGCACGGTTGGTATTCCATGAACACCTTCTGAGATTTCCCAGCTGCCCCCTGCTTTGTTCAACCTGCCCTCAGTCTGAAACCTCTGCCATGCTCTGACTTCCTTAGGTCCTCCTCAAATATCCACTGTGCCTTCTTGGAAAGCCCCTCCGCCCGCACAGACATCAGCAGTCTTAAGGGGCTCATCACTAATGACTGCCAGGCTGCAGGGTCTGAGAGTTTGCGCACCTCTTTGCGCGCGCAGGACCAAGGGCACCTCATGGAGTCCAACTCTTCTGCCCTGTGCCCAGCCCACAGGCATTAAATGAGAAAATGGAAAGGCAAATAAATCTTGCTGGGGATAGGGACTAAATCATGCAAATGGGATGGAACAATGACATGCAAGGGAGAAAGTAAAACTTTCTGAGATTAACTTTCTAGACTAGGGGTCTGAAGACTTTTTCAGTAAAGAGCCAGATAGTAAATATTTCAAGTTTTGCAGGTCACGTGAGCTCTGTCACAGTGACTTATTTCTGCCTTTGCAGGACAAAAGCAGCCACAGACAAACACGTTTAGAGGAGTTGCAGTGAAACCCTGAGATCTGAAGGTCATATAATTTTCACATGTCATGAAATATTAGTCTTCTTGTGATTTTCCTTCCCAACCCTTCAAGATTGTAAAACCCTTTCTTACTTGCAGATCATGCAAAAACAGGCATGGGGCTGGATTTGCCAGTGGACCCCAGCGTGCTAATCCCTCCTCTATGCCCGTGGTTCTCAATCACAGATCAAATCCCTTTGTGAATCAGATGAAAATCATGTGCCTCTCTCTAGGGGCAGTGGGGCGGTGGGGGGGGGAGGAGTCTCTTCACTTACATGCACATATTTGCCCAGGGCTCCATGGGCGTCGATTAGGATCACAGGCTCCAGAAACAGCTTTCCATTTTCTAAAGTGTCCCGGTTGGGGAAAAGGGCGGGCGAGGGGGGAAGGAAACTCTTTAACATGATTAGTGGGTCACCTTTACTAAGTGCTGTATCCACTAAAAACCGTAGATCGTACTACAGGTTCAGAAATCAGCAGTAGAAAAGTAACTTTTCCTCATTCGAAATCGGAGTAATGAAATTTGGGAAGTCGGCCAGGAAACTCACATGCATCTGGCACCTTCCCTGCCCATTTCTAGATCAGAGGTTCATGACCCTGTATCTTCCACTCTCTCTGTCCCTCTCGGGTAGCCCAAGGTGTACTCTGCACCTTCTGATGCTTCCAGAAGGGCCGTTGGCCAGCCAGCAGATGGGACATTTTGAATCTTCATGGAAATATACTTCTGTTTAATCACAGCTTCTCTTTAGGATTTGGAATTAAGGGGAGACAGAACGACGCTGCATACCGCGCCCTGAGCCAAGATCGTGCCAGTCTGAGATGTCAGTGAGTCATTAAAAATGTATAAGGGAACCAATGGCCCAATTGTACTTTTTATTGAAGGGTTTAAGTCCCACTTAGGACCAGAAAAATCCAAAGAGCAGGATTATCAACTATAAATTACATTACATGCTGATTTTTCTTGAAGATTTATTTATTTATTTTTAGAGAGAAAGTGTGCATGCCTGTGCAAGTAGGCGAGGGGCAGAAGGCGAAGGAGAGAAAAGTTCAAGCAGGCAAACTCCCTGCCCAGCCTGGAGCCCCAGCTGGAGCTGGATCTCATGACCCTGAGATCATGTCCTGAGCTACCCAGGTGCCCCTAGATGCCGATTTTATTCTGTAAAAGCAGAGAGGCGTCTACTGAATAGATTGCTTATGTAATGGTGGGAAGGGGCAGAAGAGGGACCGTCAGGCAACCTGGACTTCCCTTGAGCCAGAGACCACCTATCCTGTCAGACATAGTTATTCAATAAGCTCTTCTAACTTCTGGGACAATGTTATTCTAAGGAGAGTATGGTTGACTTTAATACTAAAGCAATGGAGTAATTATTTCTGGATATAATAATAGGAGTTCACACCCATGAGCAGTTTACTCTGTGCTAAGAACTGTTCCAAGTGCTCCAAGTTTGTGGCACCCTATGGGCTAAGAAGGCTAGGGTTCATGTTTTGCAAACAAGGAAAGGGAGGTGTAGAAAGGTTCAGTAAGTTGCCCAAGGTCACACACTGGGAAGTGTCGGAGCCACGATTCAAACCAAGCAGTTGGCTTCAGATTTTCTGTTCCCAGTAGCTCCCTCTATAGAACCTCCACCCATCCCTCTGGTAAATACTGTTGGCTAGCTTCGCCCTCTTGCTTTTTTTCCAGGATAAAATTCCTCACTCTATGAGTGAGGTCTGTTTATTCCTACAGAGTGTGTGTAAACTAAATAGCTGAATTTTATAAAGCAAATTATATTCGAATGTACTGGGACAGACCTGCTTTTGAAGGTCATACTACAGAGAATCCCTTTGTAAAGTGACCACTGCGTAGGAGTTTAATAAATGTCTGTTGAGTTGCATTAATTTCCCTAATGTGTGTACGTGGTTTTTTTTTGGTATGTTAAGGATACTTAACATCAGGTAGGCATTACTAACCGGAAAAAATGTTGGAGAGAAATTGCTCCTAAGTGCAACTGCAGACGGTGGAGTGATTAACTCGGTGAATCACCCAAGGAAGCGGGCGTTCTGCCAGTGCTGGCCCTGGGCTCCATGCCACCCTCTGTTCTGAGGGGAATGCCAGCCTTCCTGGGGCTGCTGACAGATCGCTGAGGAGAAGGACAGGTGGGGTGAGGGGGAGCCCATCACAGAGGGCAGCACCCACAGCAGGCGAGCTCCTGATCCACCTCCTGTCTCGAGGTGTTGCTAGCTTGCAGCCATTTCTGTCCAGTCCGTTTATCTCCTGTGTGACAACCCCAGACCCTGATATCGCTACTTTATAGATCAAGGATTCTCCACTGTTCAGAGGAGGCATTTATCTATTACATTACTCAGCAGCAGAAAAAACAGGGTGGGGCAGGTCAGGAGCTGGCTGTGATGGGTCCCCGGAGCCATTCAGCAGATGTCGGGTGGGGTCACCTCAGTAGAACATGCCCTTCCCAATCCTCTAGCTCAGGCCACAGAATCTGCAGATGGCTGGGAGGAGGCAGAAAAGAGGGACTGCTAGGCAAGGTCACTTGGAGGGTCATCTTCGGTGCTGGTTGTGTAAACCATCCCACGCACATAAAGTCACACATTTAACATAACTCATCCATCCACGCAGAAGCTTACTCATTTATTCTACAAATGTTCATTGGGCACTTGCTGGGTGTCAGACCCCCACCCTCCACCCCCGAGACGCACTGGAGATACTACTGTAAGATGGGCCTCTACCTATAGAACTTTCTTATTTCAACCCAGCAACATGAAGCCAGGCTCTAAATAAAGCAGATGGGGTGGGGGGGGTTATGATTTTACAGTATATGTTGTTTTCTCTCAAAGATGTTGAGCTTGCAAATTCCCATTATGAGTCATCAATACAAATGAGCAGCCTAATGAATCTAATCCACTTGACCTCTAAGTCAATGAGGGCAACAGGGAGGCTCCCTGCCTCTGGTAGGATTTCACCTGCTAAAAGATCTGTGGTGCAAGGACATGGCCTCAGGGGAAAGCGAGTGATGGGTGCCTGGGCAGAGGACGGAAGAAACACGCCCACCCTCACAGGGCTCCAGGCGATCTTACACTCCAGGAGCTAGCGGATGGCTAGGAAACACAGCAGAGGGTGCTGGGCAGTTTCCAAAGAGGCACAACTTGCCGGGATTAACCCGGCCCTGTTGGATGTTTGTATGAGGCCAGAAAGTTGGGCATCACCGCCTGCTAGAACATTTTCCCCAGAGAGGACCTCGAGCCTGGTTTTACATAAACTGCAGCCTCACTGGTGTTAATAAAGACCAGAGCTGGATTTATAATTCCCTATATAACACATTCCTGAGGCATTTCCAGAAATGATTCTTCAGTAAAATACATCTCACATAAAATATCCCCAGGGCGTGAGGCAGTCCTCACCAGGAATGCAGCATAAAGAACTGTAAACAATTACTTAAAGGTTCATTCGTCCGGGGCAAAAACTAAGTCCTTGGACTTGCGCACATTTCCTGAGCTCAGCTTATGGGGGCAGGGGGAGACCCCACAGATGGGGACCTGTGAAATGGCCATGACAATGACACGGTAGGCAGTGACTTGTCAAGTGAGATGTGAGCGGGGCATCAAGCATAGTCCCTGCCCACAGGAAACACTCTCTGCATTAGAACTCCATTATGCAATGAGCCTGGTCTGGCAGGTCCAGGCCTGTGTCCCCTTCCCAGCTCCCATGCTAACTTGCTGTGTGACCTTGAGCCAAAGAGTTTCCCTCTGTAAGCCTCAGTTAGCTCATCTGTGTCCCACAGCATTGTTCTCAGTGTGTTCTGGAAGCCCGCAGGTTCTAATATCCCAACTCCTGGTAGAAGCAGAAGGAACAAGGCCTGTGCCTGCAACCTGAGCAGTAATCGTCTGGTTGGTTTCTGGACCTGCACTCCTGTGTTCTATCTCACTTGAAAAAAAAGGCTTCAGGTCCTTAAAACAGTTTGTAAACCATGAGTGAGGTCTAAAGCCCCTCCCAGATCTAAGGTTCTTCAGAGCAGGGGCTTGTGGCTCATCCTCAGCAGATGTTGGTCGTAGACCAAGAGGTCACACCAGGCCCTGTTGCTCTTTCCATGGACAGCCCTGTACTTCCCCACGCATGGGTTACCTTCACCTTCAGTGCCATCCCCCCAGCTGTGCCCTGTGGAATCCTTCCTGCTCAATCCACACATTGCCCAGGATGCTTTCTCTGATCCCTGGGGTCCTGGAAAACCCATCTCCCCCTCCTCGGAATGTCTCTGGCCTTCTGTTTATGCCTCTGGAGTATGTGCTTTTGGAGTCATTTATGGGAATATATTCTATCCTTTGCTTGGTCGAAAGTGCTAGAAAGACAGTGGCTCAGCCCTATGGACATTTGTTATGTAAATAGTGGGTGCTCAATCAATGTTGATAGAAGAGATGACTGGATGGGGCCACACAGCAGATTTTAGAACCTCCAGGTAAATTTTTATACCTTTGGACAAAGTCAGGAAAAACAGTTTTTTAAATTTATTGATAATTGATTTTTTCCTCCAAAAGAATGGGTTAATATAGATATTTCTAATCAAGTCAATGAATTAATAACTACAGAGCAGAGCCTACAGCGTGCCTGATGTGGTAAATTTAACCCTGAGAAGGATGCTTCCATGTTGCTCTGATGATAACTTTAGGAAGCTGAGGGCAGGGGTTGAATTCACAGAGAGGGAGGCACCTAGCAGAGCACTTGTAAGCGCTCTTTCTTCTAAGTCAGAGAGACAGGTTTGAATACAGACTCCTACCATTTTCTTAGCTTCTAGGCCTCATTTCCTTATATGTAAAAGAAGCATATAATTATAGTTGTTGGAAAGAGTTACTTTAAAGATTAATACAAGAAAGCCTGTGATCATGCCCTGTGTCTGGCACATAGTGAGTGCTCATATACTAGTTATTATTTAAAAGCAACAAGAAAACCAAGATAATGACAGAAATGAATAGAAAGCAACTTACAGCCATAAAATGCATGCAATGCCGTGGTTATCTCTACAGGAAAAGCACAGGGGGCTGAGGGTACGCGGTGGCAGACTTCAAACCACCAGCGATTATTTGAGCAAGTGACGTCCTGAGGCATGTCGGTGTCACGAGGAGCCCTACATTTCTCCAGTTCTCATGAGGACCTGCACAGCCCTCGTGTTCTGACCTCACTCCTATCATTCACCTCTCCACTTGCATTGCTCTGGTCACTTGGCCTCCTCACAGGGTCCTCTCAGGCACCAGGCACATCCTCCCTGCGGGGTCTTTGCACCTGCTCTTCCTCTGCCTGGATACCAAACCCCCAGCTACTCAGGGGGCTAGCTGGCCCTCTGTCTCCCGTCACGGCTCACGGGTCATCTCGTGAGAGAGGGGTTCCCTGACCTCCCCCCATCATCACCATTACCCTGCCCTGCTTTGATGGTCTTCACAACAATATTCTGTCTACCTGGTTGTGGTCTGCCTCCCCCACCTTGAGTGTAGGCTCCATCATACCCAGGACTCTGGTTGCTCTACAAACTGTGCGGACCCCATCACTGGAACCGTGCTCAGCATGAAGACATGAGGTGACGGCTTGACAAAGAATGGCTGCTGAATGGCTTCCGGCCCCAGGGGGACACCATGGGATGCTACCCCTGATTCTGCCACTCATTTTTAAAATGTTCTCCCCGAGATCTGTGAAACTCTGTACAACCCACACATTCTGATCAAGACTCTTACCTCGCTGAAAGAGCAGCAGGAGGAACGATTTCTATTGGAGTTGCGTTGGTGTTTGGGTCGAGATTGTCGGTTTTGACAACAAAGAACTTTACGGTTGGATTTACAGCTCCTGCCTAGGAAAACACAATAACAGAATTGATATGGACAAAAAAAATCACATCATCGCACAGGTGTAAAACTGTACAAAAATGTCCGCATGAGAGCGATAAAATTATAATCATAAGACACGTTAAAAAATTTAATATAGACAGACCTAATACAGATAGAATGAACATAAAAGAGAGTCATGAAGTGCAATTTTTTCATGTTCAGACAGAACCATATATATTGACAGCTCCAAACACTCCGTTTAAATCATGAACATTCATAACTTAATGTGTTTTGTGCAAACAAGGATAAACTTTTAAAAAATCAATTCTATTATTTTGCAAATATACTCTGACTCCAGAAGACAAGAAGTCTAGTGGCTGACAACTAGGAAGAATACCTTGGGTTCAGCCAAAGACACAACCCACCAGGAAAATGAGTTTAGCTGAGCCGAGAGCCAGTAACGGCTAATTAGAAAGGCATCATTTGCACTCCAAATTCAAGCTCACCATGTTCGAACTTTACAATCAATATGATGACAGAAATCTACAAAACTTTTTTATATATACACATAGATCTTCAATTGACAAATTAGTTAGAAATAATATATTTTTAGTGAGAGCATTTTATGGTTTTTTTTTTTTTTTTACCAGTTTCACTCATCAAAAAATAACATTCCACCGAAAATACATCTCTATATTTAGTCTCGGATCTTTTTTTTTTTCTTTTAACTTCCTCTGTCTTCCTAAAATGGCAGCTCTTCATGAAGCAAATTGAGTGAGTTAGTAAAAATAAAAATCCCTTTTCCCAAGTTGCTTAAGCAAAAACATTTACTATTAGATTTTCCTATAGATGATTCTGTGGCCATTAATATTACGATACTAGTGAAGAATCCTGGTTCCCTTCTAAATCCCCCTCTTCCTCGGCTTACACTGCTTAACAAAGCTGTTCAATTTTCATAAATATGCATCCCGGAGGAGGAGAACAGCCTTGCAAACCAAGATGTGAGACCATTATTCCAAACGCAGGACGTGTGAAATTCACATTAGTGCCAAATCTATACCAGAACCACTGAAACTAGTCACGTATGGGTTAATTAGCAATACAACCTGATACATAACTGAGCTTTTCAACTTCATCCAGGGCATATTCCAACTTCTACAAATAAGATGAGCTTGTGATTCAATGACAGCCTCTCTTTTCCTCCCCTGAAACATTTTCATTCCCCCTACCTCTTTCAAAAGCATTTTCCCCATCTTTTTCGGCTTGTCATTCCTCAAAGTTTTTGGAGAAATTACAAAACCTTAAATCACACTCTTTCCTGGGATAATAAAAATACTTTAAAATTGCCAGATGCTGTTGACTTCAGCAAGAGTAATCACAGCAAGCTGTTGAAGAGAGACTGACAATATTTTCATTAGCAGGAAAGGATTAAATGAAACCATTCTCTTCCCATCAAATCACGGAACCACTATGTGACTAGGAGCACAGACCTTTGGATATGGAATCCGCACAGTCTTTGGGTACTGCAGTGACTCGTCAGAGTAGAAGGAGTATTCAATAAGTGGGACTTCTGTGTCGTTAAATTGGGCATATGCTAAAAAAGTGCCTTTTGGAGACCACCACAGAGCAGAGTAGGCACTGAAGATTTCCTCTGAAAAAAAGACATAAATTGTTCTGTTACAAGAAGTAGCTGATAAATTGGCTTTGGCATTCAAAATATTGTTCTCATTAGCTTTAGTAATTACAGTAGAGTTCAACTAATGAACCATTTTGCATTTGCTGGGCTTCCAAATTCAGAGTAATACAAATGAATAAAAATAAAATCTTCAAGGATAGATCTGGATTGTAAAAATAAGTAACCCGTTGGACCATTTTAGAATATTTTAGCACACAATATTTAATATAAGCTCTACATTTTTTTCTTTATCTTATAATCCTCTGATTTTATGCCGCAAAACATACTAAAAGTAAATTTCACACAAGGGGCTGATTCTCCTTTCTAATTTTCAAACAGTCAACATGCCAGCATACTCTTCCCAACTGGGCTCAGTTTGTACTGTGCCCACAGGGTACTGGTGGGTGGTGTGTGGCTCCAGACTATCAAACTAATATGGTGCCCACAGTTTACTACTCTTGGCACAAACAGGGTGTGGGAAGGATGAATTTAGAATGACAAGGAGCTCCGTGAGACCCCTACTGAGAAACACCTCCTTCACTTAGCCTAGAAACTAAAGACTCCTGCAGATTAGCTTGCCCTTCTGATGCATACGGTGATGGTAAGAGACCAGAGTCAAAGAGAGAGGCAAAGGAAAGGAAAGGTCTTGCTCTCCTGAACGTTGTTGGACTCATTCTCTGGCAAATGTAGTTCTTTCCTATGTTTATTATGGAGTCTATTCATGGCACTTCCAATCTCTGGCTCTTAAAATGCCAAAACCTTTCTCATTGAGGGTTCAGGTAGACTAGACAGAGACTTCCAGTCCTTTGTGCAGATTTAATCTACAAATCTCATGTTCTGCTACTGGTGTAGCAGTAAGGTAAAAGGTAAAAGCAAAAGCATAGAAACTTGAGTCTTAGAGTTAGGAAATCATCTGTCCCCATCACTTTTCTGATTCCCGAGGCCTCTTTACGGGTGTCTTCCAAATGCTTCAATAATAATAATAATAATGGTAATAGTAGTGTCAGTAACAGTAACAACAATAACAATAGTAACAAAATGTAATAATAATTATCATGATGAGCAACTAACATTTAAAGAGTGCTAACCATGAGCCAGACTTGATGTGCAACTGACATCTGTGATCTCCGGTAATCCTCACACAGTAGCTCATTGTGCAGGTGAGAAAGGAGTAAGCAGGCTTAAGGAGAAGAAGTCATTGCCCAGAGTCACATGGCCGATAACTGATTGAATCAAGAATGAATCCAGACTTGTCTGGTTTGAATTCATGGTTCTTACCTCCATGATCTATGTCCCTCCATACATATTTCAGCTCTTCCGGTAACAGAAAACCTACTGGGTAAGGCAGCCTGCTCTGGCTTTATCCGTTTTCTACCTACGTCATTAAGTTATGTTTATGTAGCAATTTAGAATTCACAAAACACTTACCTAATTTAGTCTTCACAAAGATCCCTAGATGAGCCTATTCTATTCATATCCCATTTTACAGCGAAGGCAACTGAGGGGCTTAGAGAGAGAGAATGAATTTCCAGAGATAAGACAAGGACATGGGCCGTGTGACTCCGAGTCAAGGAGTTTCTACCGAGAACTTCTGCAGATACTGAGTTGATGCCTCCTTCCTGTGGCTTCTACCCATTGGTTCTAGTCTAAGATCAAGATGCAATTACATAAAATGAATACAATTACAGCAAGCTTATGGTTTTTTTTTTAAAGATTTTATTTATTTATTTGAGAGAGAGAGAATGAGAGACAGAGGGCATGAGAGGGAAGAGGGTCAGAGGGAGAAGCAGACTCCCTGCCGAGCAGGGAGCCCGATGCGGGACTCGATCCTGGGACTCCAGGATCACGACCTGAGCCGAAGGCAGTTGCTTAACCAACTGAGCCACCCAGGCACCCCAAGCTTATGGTTTTTAAAACTGCTTTTAAGTACAGGTAGCTGGTAGTATCTGTGTTGTGAATTGGTGGGTATTTGTAATACAGAATATATTGTTTCATACCATGATGTATTAAAACCATTATTATAGAACTACTTCTGGTCAAACTCAAAGTCCTGAGAATGAATAGTAGGGAAAAGGGAGAATAACAAAGGGGGAACAGATTTCCAGTCCTTCCTGTTACAAAGCTGGCTGTGAGCACAAGTGTCTACGGCACCCCCTCCCTGACATTCTGCCCCTCCCTCGCCATCCTGTGATGCCTCCAGTCCAGCCGCTCTGACCTTCCCTTGGACTTAGTGCCCTCCCCTGAATAGGTCCCTTGATTCACTCTATGACAATTATCCATTAGCATCTTTGTCTCCCTCTCTGGGCTGAACTCCCTGAGAGCAGCAGTTGGATAGCATTTGTCCCCATGTCTCTAGAACCTGACACAGCACCTCATAGGTAGTTGGCACTCAGTGTGGATTGCCCTGAATTACCCACACCCCCACCGTCAGCACGACTACTAGAGGGTAAGGAGTGCCCCATCTTGCAAACTTATTTCTTTCTCTATCCCTTTTCATCCTTGCTCTCAAAATTCTCATTCTCACCTCTGGGTTAGGTAAACTATACTCACGCTTAAGAGTGACTGTTGAATCACAGACCTGTACCTCTGAAGCAAATAATACATTACATGTTAAAAAAAAAAAAAAAGAAGATAGTAGAAAGGGAAAAGTAAAGGGGGGGAATTGGAGGGGGAGACCAACCATGAGAGACTATGGACTCTGAGAAACAAACTGAGGGTTCTAGAGGGGAGGGGGGTGGGGGGATGGGTGAGCCCGGTGATGGGTATTAAAGAGGGCACGTACTGAATGGAGCACTGGGTGTTATACGCAAACAATGAATCATGGAACACTGCATCAAAAACTAATGATGTAATGTATGGTGATTACCGTAACATAATAAAAAAATTTGAAAAAGAAAAAAAATAGACCTTATTTGATAAGTAAAAAAAAAGAGTGAATGTCATGTGATTAACTTCATACTAGGAGATAAAGTATTATTATTTTTACAAAAGAAGGCACTTGTTAACTAAAGTAATAATCAGTTAGAAAATCATGAAAGAAGACAAAGTGAAAACATCGAGACATTGAGAGAGAAAGTCATTTGGGAACCTGGGACGGGGCAGGGGACACATGTCCCAGACGGTAGGCTGCTCTGTGAGTGTCCCTCCATGATGTGGCACACGGCCCTGTCTGGACCTTGCAGCTTCATTTCTTCTTTTACTTATGAACCTACAGATTCTCAAAATGTACTCTTTCAGTCTTATACTCAACAAGTCTTCATGGCTGCAGTGGAGACGCTCCATGGGAGGGTGGATCTCATGTATGGAGACACGAGTGTGCCCTTTCCAAGTATGGATCATTCATAAATATATAAAACCAATTATAGGAACTTCCCCATAGGAACCAAAGTCCTGTTTTTTAGAGACAGACCCACACTGAAACTGGGAAGCCATTCTTCTGTTTGTCATCAACACGCAAACTGAGATCTTTCCAGCTCTTATCTACCTGAGAAAGGACTAATAGTGTTAGGTGTGTTCTTATCCTAGAGACACTCAGATGTTTCGAGGAAGGGTCGAGTGCAGCTTTGGGAAGAGCCTTTATCCAGGTCACTTTGGGGCTCCTACAGGTTGTGCTGTGCTGTCCAATAAGCATTAAAGATGTTTTTCAATTGCTAAGTGACGAGCGTTAGTAAATTTCATTATAAATTATTTCTGGGCCATGGGGATTTATCTTTTTTTTAAAGTGATTTTTGTTGTTGTTGTTGTTGTTATAATGTTAGGCCATTTAATTGAACCTGGCTTGAACTGGGTAAGAACCAAAATGAAGTCATGAAGGAAAACTTTTTTTTTTTTTAACTATGTGGAAGAAATAAGAGGATGAAATAAGGATGAGTACTTAATAGGCATGAGGCAACCTTGTGAACAGTCTGGAACAGCCTCAAAAATGCCTTTTACCTTGGCAACTATAGACGTGAAAAATGTTTTTCTAATATTTTCTAAGACTCTATCTTAAAAGAGAGAATAATCCTTTTTATTATTTTTAGTTCTGTTTTTTTTTTACTGATTTTTTTCCCCCAGAAGCCTTTCTAATTATTTTTTCCTTCTTTAAAAATAGGAAATTATGATTTGTCCAAGTTCAAATGAACACAAATCCTCTGTAAAACAGATGCTTTCTTCCCCCTCTATTCCCCAACCTCCAGACAATATTTTGTCAGCTCTTGGAATGCTGTGGGAGTATTTAGCTTTCCTTAGTAACTCTGGGTTAGGTAGGCCCAGTTAGAGAAACATCTGATGTTAATCTGGAAGCTTTCATGCCCCAGTAAAGCAGAAAAGCTACCTACACAGAAAGGCCCTTTGTAGGAGGAGACAGAAGACAATAGGGGCATTGAGAGACAATGAGGACATAGGTGAAACTAGCTACTGCTGGGAAATCCTTGTTCTGGGAGACACCTGGTATTGTGAGTGCTAAAGAGATTTGATGTCATTTTAAAAAATGCAACTTATTTTGAATGCCATTGAATTTCTCCATTTTAAAAGAAATGTTTAGCTACTTAAAAAAAAACAACTTATGGATTTTCTAATTTGAAAAAGCTTTAAAGTCTCTACCTTCATAAACCCAGTCAGTTATTCCACTGGATATTACATTTTCTTTCCCCGTCCATGTGATCCTCTGACTTGATGAATTTGGTTCATTTTTAACATAAACATCATTGTTCCAAACGTATGCCTAGAAATATTGAAAAACAGATTGGTAAGTAATAACTTGTTATAACATATCTTATCCTGGAGTTAAAAGATATCTATCAACTGTTTATCCTCACATAATACTGGTACGCAAACATAATGATTACCTTGGGCTATTCAATTTGAGCAAGATAAAGTCATTTACTACCCCCCTCACATTATTTATTTATATATTTTAAAGATTTTATTTATTTATTTGAGACCAAGAGCACAAGCAAGGGGAGGAGTAGAAGGAGAGAAGGAGAGGGAGAAGCAGGCTCTCCACCGAGCAAGGAGTCTAATGTGGGGGGCGGGGCTCAATCCCAGGACTCCAGCCAGGATCATGACCTGAGCCGAAGGCAGACGCTTAACAGAATGAGCCACCCAGGCGCCCCACCCCTCACAGTTTTAAAATTGTAAGTGTACAGGCTATAACTTCCAAATAATTCTAAAGACACTCAATATATTAAAAAGAAGCAGCTCACAAATACCACTATTTGAATGCTAGAGTGCCTGCAAAGACCCAGGAGCCTGACCATTTCTATGGAATAATGTGTGCTTTCCATTGTTTTCTGGGGGTGGTGAGTTGAGGGAGTGCTTTCGATGTCAGGAGGGAGAATTCCATCTACAAATGAACATCCCATCTTCCTGTTCAGATTCTTTTGGACTTCTGACAGTCTCCCAGCACTAAGAACATGAAGGAAGAACATGAGGTATATCTATAGGGACACAGAGATCACAGAACTGGCAAGAAGCAGATACACCTCCCACACAAACAAACAAGCAAAAACAGCAAACTGAATACAACAGAAATTAGAAGTTAGGAGTTAAATGGGCATTTTTCCAGTAAATAAAGAATTCCCCAGTAGTAGTTCAAAAACTTTCAGGAATCCTATTTACTGTGTTAGCTAGTAAAATGCTATTTTAGGCAATAACACTATCTCTGATGGTGAAGTATTTGCTTCCTAAGTGTCTGCTCTCTATCAGGGTATGTAGCTTCTGCATGTGATAGCGTTGAGCCATTATTTTCTTCTGACAACCGAAGAGACTCACTAACCAATTTATGACCCTCTGGTGACCATGTGATCCACTGTGTATTGTTTGGAATTTTCTCTTCTGTAACCAGCCTCCTGAAAAAAAGATAAAAGGAAACATTACCAAATGAATAAATCACAGTAGGATTTCTTTTTAAAAAATGTTATTACACTAAAGAAGCTAATAGATTTTATAAGGAAGTCACTGACCTTTTAGCTAAGTCATAGATGTCATATGAAGCTGTGTAAGAATGTCTCCATTTCTATAAAAGAAAACAGACATCTCAGACTTCTGTGATTCTTGATAGTTCGGCCACTTGCTATAGGAGCAGAAGATGAGATGTAAAGTAATATGACATTGTATAATTCTCACATCTTATCATGTCTTATAATTCTTATCTCAATCCTTAGAATTCTGGAATTAGGAAGAGTTCTTAGAGACCATCTAGTACCAAGTCCTCTGGACCTCATCTGTAACCTCGATCTGGCATCACCCCTGCCAAGGAAACTTCTCGGGGTCACAGTGGGCTGATGTGTTGCTTCATGGCAAACAACACTCCTAGCATTTACCATAGCATGGGAAGTCCACCTGTCTAAGAAAATACAAATTTTATTTATTTATTTATTTATTTATTTATTTATTTATTTATTTATTTATTTTTAAGATTTTTTTTATTTATTTGACAGAGAGAGACACAGCGAGAGCAGGAACACAAGCAGGGGGGGAGCAGGGGAGGGAGAAGCAGGCTTCCCGCCGAGCAGGGAGCCCGATGTGGGGCTCGATCCCAGGACCCTGGGACCATGACCTGAGCTGAAGGCAGACACTTAACGACTGAGCCACCCAGGCGTCCCAAAAATACAAATTTTATACTTTTCAACCATCCTACTGACAAAATCTTTAAAGGATCTATAATTCTATTGCTGGTGGTAATGTGGAGAAATACTTACTTTCCTACTTTGATCATGAAAATATAAAGCGCTACAGATTTTTTGAAAGCCACCTGCCAAAAACAAAACAAACAAACAAAAAAACCACCCAAAAACCAAAAAACCTCCCTGACAATATATATTAACATTGAAATATATATATATAACACAGATATTCTCAAGAATCTAAAAAATGAAAAGCAAACCAAATCCAAATAAATGAGAAGAAATAATAAAAGTAAAACTAGTAATCAAATAGAAAATGAACAATAAAGAAAAATCAATGAAGCCCCAAACTGGTTCTTTGAAAATTGCTAATGCAGTAAGAGGGAGGGGGGAGAAGTATGAATGACCAATAGTAGAAATGAAAAATGGGATTAAAATGGGATTAAAAGGTTTTAAGACCATATTATAAACATTGTTTTGCCAATAAATTTAAAAGTTTAAAAAGGGACAAATTCCTTGGCAAGCAATTTATCAAAACTCAGACAAGAAAAAATGGAAAACCTATATAGTCTTATATCTAAAAAACACACTGAATCAATAAATAAAAGCATTTGCACAAAGGAAACTCCAAACCCAAATAACTTTATCAGCAAACTCCTTGTTATTTAACCAAATGAACTAAAAACTCATACATATACAAAAACCCTCTACACAAATTTTTATTCATAATTGCCAAAACTTAGAAGAACCGAGATGTCCTTCAACAGGTGATGGGTAAACAAACTGTGGTCCATCCAGACATTGGAATATTACTTAGCAATAAAAAGAAATGAGCTATTACATCACAAAAAGCCACGGAGGAACCTCACATGCATATTTCCACATGAGAGAAGCCAATCCGAAAAGGCTACATATTGTATGATTCCAACCATATGACTTTTTGGAAAAGGCAAAATTACGGAGACAGTCAAAAGATCAGTTGTTGCTAGGGGTATGGAAGAAGGGAGGGATGAAGAGCTGGAGTGAAAATATACTGCATGATACTGGAATGGTGGATTACATGTCATTATACATTATAGATTTGCCAAAACCCATAGAATGGAATGTACAACAACACTAGGATTGTTGGAGACAACAACCTAATGAGAACTATGGACTTTAGTTGGTTACAATGTATCAATAATGGCTCATCAATTGTAACGAATGTACCCTACTAATGCAAAATGTTAATGATAGGGGAAACTGGGACAGGAGTGGGGGGGGTGATAAGGGAGTACGTGGGAACTCTGTATTTTCCACTTATATTCTGAAACTCTAAAGCTGTTTTAAAAAGAATTAAGTCTATTAATTTAGAAATAAATGAATTCGAGCTATGCCAGATAACTTGGAAGAAGTTCCACGTGGAATCATTGAGAAATGCAAATTACAGAAAAGTATGGAAAATAGGATTTTATTTTTTATAGAATAAGCAGTGACTAAAAGAATATCTTCATAGAATTATTTGAATAAGGGGGAAAATATAAAATATGGAGAGATATATACTAGGTTCTTAACATGTGATACTTAGGGAAAAGGGGGGGGTGAGGAGTAGGGAGCCAGGCATAAGAGGAAAAAAAGATAAGACTGAAGATTATATATATATATACACACACATATATATATATACACACACACAGATTTGCATTTATGAAAAATTATGTTTATATGTGGATGCATTTATACATTAAAGATATTTTAAAAGAAATTACATGTCTTCATGTCTGTCTTCCCTACCATAATCCTAGATGTAAGAAATGTGTCTTTAAATCTATGAAGTCTTGTCTAGAGTAAGTCACATAGTCTCTGTTCAAGAAATAAACCAAACTAACATAAAAATTAAATTTTACCCATGAAAATGAAGTAGATGAAATGGATAGCCAAGGTACCCAGCTTGTGTATGACAGAGCTGAGACACAAGCCAGAGGTTCTAACCTTGAAGAGTATTTCCCACTTATCATTTATCATCCTTTTATTCTCTCATGTCAATAATTATGTATTAAAGCCTTACTTTTTGCAAGTCATACATTTTTTTTTAATCCTGAATTATTTTGACACAATCCATGCTTGTTTCTGGGAAACCTCTGAATGCTCTACTTGTAAGAGCCAAAAGGTGTGCTATAGGCTAAAAATATTAAGATGTTTGAGAAGGTTTGAGATCACTCAGGACGACAGATCCATCATGAGTTACAAAAGGATGTTTGGTATGTTCACTTCATCTTCTGAAACAGACTCATCCATCTATTTAGGTTAGAAACTCTGGCAACTATCCTCTGTCAGGCATTACTGGATAAGATAGGCTCACTCTCACTCTCTTTGAGGAGCTCATAGTTGAATGGGGATATGGGCAAGTAAATACAAGAAAAGAATCACAAGACATATAACAGAGGTAAGTGGGGAGAGGCAGGAATCATAAATGAGGCCTTGGGGTGGGAGAAAGGTCTACAGAAAAGCTGATTGTTAGACTGAGTCTCAAAGCAGTGAACTACCACACAGGGAAGGGGTTAAAAAAGCATAGCAGAGAGGCACTGAAGCACAAAGTTGGGAAAGATTATGTTTAAGAGCACGAGCTTTGGAGTCTTCTAACCTGGATTCAAGTCTGGCTATACACTGAATGTATGCTGCCCACCCTCCACCATTCATATGTTGAAATCCTAACCCCCAATGTGACGGTGTTGGAGGCAGAGCCTTTGGGAGGTAACTAGCTCATGAGGGTGGGGCTCTCATGAATGGGATTAGTTCCTTTATAAAAGAGACTCCAAAAATACTGCAGGTCCCTTCCTCCATTTGAGGACATGGAGAAGGGTCAACTATGTTCCATGAAGTGGGATGTCTGTCACCAGACACTGAATCTGCTAGCACTTTGATAATTGGATTTCTTTCTTAGCTTCCAGAACTCTGAGAAATAAATGTGTTAGTAACCCACCCAGTCTATGGGACTCTGTTGTAGCAGCTTAAATGGACCAAGACAAGTCTCCACTGTGTAATATCAGGCAAGTTTCTTTCTAAGTTTTACTTTTCTTTCTAGGAAAATGGGCTAATGTCAGCAACAGTCTCATGAGAGGTTCATGAGAATATATGTGAATTGCTAAGCAGGGCCCTAGAATATTGTCCACATGTCACAGTTGATGCAACTATTATCTCTGGGGCATTCAGCAGTGAATGGAGTTGTTGGGTGAACATCCATACCAGGCTGTAGGGTCCTTATTTATGTTTTCACTCACGTGCTCACTTACTTGTTTGTAGCCACAACACAGAAGTAATATTGCTCTGAGTGCACTAACTCTGTCATGGAAAAGCCATGGAGTAGAATCTAAAGAACTTTGCACTGTAGACCTCCAAGGAAATAGAATAAGACTAGACTTTTCTTTGTTCTGGATAAGTTTACTGAGAACTGATTAGTCAACTGGAATATTGTCAGCATGTGATAGATGATGCAACTATGATTAATTCTGGAGCATTAGGCCATGAGTAGAAATTATAGTAAGTTGCACATGTATGCTGTACAGAAAAAATACTCTTAAGAAGTAAAATAGAAGAAGACAATAGAAGATTGTCTGCAATCAAAGGTATAAAGAGTAAAATAAGCTAATGTGATAGAGAGTGAATGGTGGAGTGTGCGAGAACAGAGTGGCAGGGGGCAAAGTTAGGTAAAGCAATCTGAGAAAGCCTATACCTGAATTACTAAAAAGCGTACACGCTAGATAAATAGGGGAAGAAGGTTCCAGGAGGAAGCAATAGCAAATACTTTGGCCCTCAGATGGGAATGAATGATGCTTGGGAAAACTAAAGAGTGGTGCCCCTAAAGATTCTTGGATCAGTGAATCACCTGGGAGTCCATAAATCATGGGGAGAGCCCATGCCTGCCCCCGCCCCCCCATCACTGCGCTGAACTAGTTGGTGTGGGGTAGGTTGCAGGCATCTGCATTTTTAAAAAACCTCCATAGGTAACTGCAAGGTTCAGGCAGGGGTGAGAAGCGCTGGCCAAGCACGGTGAGTCCAGAGAGGGTAATAGATGATGGGTTAGCAAGGGTGGACTGAGGTCCAATCACACAGGCTTCTGACGGTACTGTGGTTAGTTTGTGTTTTATTCTGAAAGTGATGGGAAACCACTGATCATGAGGGGTTAGGCATAGGCATGACATAACCTAACTTAAGTTTTAAAAGCAGCACAATAGGTACTGTCTGAAAAGGACCGATGGCGGTGGGATGACGGAATAGCATGAAAACAGCAAAAGCAGTTAAATGTACATGGAAACTCCAGTGACACCACAAATACAAATTACCAATGATGGCTGCCCACTTACGGTCTACCAGTGAAATCATCCATTAGTATACATCATATGACACTTAACTGAACTTGGCCAAATAGTAAATTGAGCTGGTATTTACCTTTCTGTTTCTACCTTAACCTCATCATCTTACTAAGTTTGTCCTGAACATGGGCAATTATTATTCAGTGGTTCTCAACCCGGGTTGCTCATTCAAATAATCTACCCGTTAAAAAAAAAAATGATGTCAGCCTCACTCCAGAGGCTATAATTTATTAATCTGAGGATTGGACCTGGCCATTGGGAATTTTTAAAAGCTAATCAAGTGATTTTAATCTCGAGACAGCAATAAAAACCACTGAATTAAATAAACAATCCATTAATTGGGAACAGATGTGTTAAAGTTGGCCTAGGATTCCGACTGGCTCCTAGCTGATAGGTTTAGTAGAACAGAGTCAGAGAGTCTTCATGTCCAGGAAATGGAGCTAGACACAGTGAATCCAGGGTAAATATTATGATTGAAAGTCACCACATTGAAATGGGAAATGGAGTAGGAGATGGTTTGCTTGGCCCGAGTACAGAAGTGTTGGGGTGCGAGATAAAGTCCTTCAGTATTTATTATTTATTCTAGAATAAAAAGGCAGAGGTGGGGATCCCCAGCTTTATATTTTGTTTTCAATGCAGAATATCCCTACAGAGTTTTAATGTTTCCTACAAGTCTCAAAACTTCCTGTACTTGACAACTGTTGTCAAATCCAGGAATAATTAAAAAGCTACAGTTAAAGCTACTGGCGAGGGCGCCTGGGTGGCTCAGTTGGTTAAGCGACTGCCTTCGGCTCAGGTCATGATCCTGGAGTCCCAGGATCGAGTCCCGCATCGGGCTCCCTGCTCGGCAGGGAGTCTGCTTCTCCCTCTGACCCTCTTCCCTCTCGTGCTCCCTATCATTCTCTCTCTCTCAAATAAATAAATAAAATCTTAAAAAAAAAAAAAAAAAGCTACTGGCGATTTGCAGCCAGCCTAACCATGAAGAGGCTATGTGATTAAGCTCTCCTGAGGTATGAGAATCTGATGTTGGGCTGAGGCTCCCCCTTGAGAATGGTCTGTATACGGTAGGACCCAAAGGCTGTGAGGTGGTCTGAGTCACCTTGCAGCGTCTCTTCTGGGGGATAAGAAGTATAACTTTTTTTTTTTAAAGATTTTATTTATTTATTTGAGAGAGCGAGAATGAGAGAGAGAGAGCACATGAGAAGCAGACCCCCTGCTGAGCAGGAAGCCCGACGTGGGACTCGATCCCAGGACTCCAGGATCATGACCCGAGCCGAAGGCAGTTGCTTAACCAACTGAGCCACCCAGGCACCCCGAAGTCTAACTCTTTTTAAGGCAAATACTTACTGACAGTTTTATTTTATGTAAAGCTGAGACAAAGGAAGTAAGGGGTCCTATTACTGGCTGTGCAAGTCAAACATGTAAGCTTGCTTTTAAATTATAAGTTTTCTTTTATTAACTTATGCTTTTAGTATCTATATTACTTACACTTTTTAACATTTGAAAACACTAAAAATGAATTTCTTTTAAAACAGTTGTTGGACTTACCTTTTATGAATGAGAATGGCTATTTCTCCTTTTGATGCTGAATTAATGTTTTTAGTGCCTATTACATTACTTGGGTGTCAATCTTTTTTTTTTTTTTAATTTAAATTCTGTTCGTTAGCACAGAGTGCAATATTGGTTCCTGGAGTAGAATTTAGTGATTTGTCACCTACATACAACACCCAGTGCTCATCATAAGTGCCCTCCTTAATGCCCATCCCCCATCTAACCCATCCCCCACCCACTTCCCTCCATCAACTCTCAGTTTGTTGTTAAGAGTCCCTTGTACTTAGGTGTCAACCTTAAATATTTGTGGACTTGAAATCAGTTATAAAGTAACTCATAGGATTCTTTAAATGTCACAGTAAGGTAGCATTTCTTTTACCTTCACATAGTTGTACTCTAAGAGAATAAACTGTCCGTCAGGAGATACCGAATAATCATTTATAGAGTGTTCAAATTCCTCCTGTCAAGCAAGTAGAAAAAATAATGATTGAACAATTTCATTTTAACGATCATTATTGAGCACTTACTATGTAGAGGGTATGGTTCTAGACAGACATGTGGCTCATGCCTTGGGCGCTGCCAGAAATGTCACATTGCCCCACACAAATGACCATGATGCAAGGTGTATGGTGATCAGGGTTAGAGAACCAGGGAGGGAAGAATTAATTCTAAGCAAGGAAAGACAGCCATGAGGGCAGGGATCAGGAAGAGAGAGAGGGGGAAGAGCATGAGCGAAAAACCAGATGTAGGAAAGGGCATGTGTATTAAGAGTATCCAGAGGTTTGGCATAACCTGAGTACTGTATAGGGTACATCAGACAACATATAAAAGAGGACATAAAAATTAGAAAATAGCTGGGACTGAAATATAAGAAGTGGAACTTTAATCCACTTTTTGCACATGGATGTGATAGAATCTTATCCGTCTTAGCAAAGATGCTCTGGGACCTGGTGGCAGACATGAGATGAGAGGGGTTGCATCAGCCCTGGACTTGGGCAACTCAGTGGTCTCCTCTATAGAATGGAGCTAGGGACACAAGTACGAGAGTACTAACACAGATTAAAAAGACCTTGAACCAGGACTCTACAGTGGAAATAGAAATCCGAGGGACACAACATTGCAGAGGGCGAAGTGATAGGGTTTGTTGAATAACTAAATATGAGGGATGGCAGAGGAATCAAGGAGGATTCTGAGGATTCAAGGAGTAGAATTTCACTCTTTAGCCTAAGTGACTTGGAGGGGAGCATACTTTACCAAGATCGGGAACTCAGGAAGAGGAATAGGGTGCCTTCGGTTTGCTAGGAGAGTGAACGGGAAATAACTAGCTGAGCTTGGGATACTGAGTTTAAAATACCTGCAGGCCATGGGTGGGCCAGGAGCAAGTAAACTATTACAAAGAGATTTTGATCTTGGCAGGAAGTTAGTGTTGAAAATGTGCATTTGAGAATCAAGGCCAGACAGGAGAGCCCTGTTGGCTGTGAGTGCATGAAATTCACTGAAGGAGAACAGGCAAACTGCGAAGAGAAGCAGCAAGGGAAGACAGAGCCCTGAGGGGCACTTACGCTTAGGAGTATGGGCAGAGGAGGAGGAATCGTCAAGGGAGACTAAAAGGTAGCCAAGGCAGGGAGCATTCCAAGAAGGAGAGAAAGATCCACTGTGTCATACGCTGCAGAGAGAGTTCAACAGGATGAGAAATGAGAGCACTCATGATTTGAAAGGTTATGAAAAAAAATCCTCAGAATTTCCTTAGCATATAAATGAATTATGCAATCAAACATACAAATGTACTGTTTTCCAAGAAAATGGAGCTGTTTCCGTATTCAGCATTGAATAGCAAGATATTATTTTCTTGTTTGTAGAGGTATTCCTGATCTAAAGAAAGAAAATGGCTGGATCAGTATTTCAAGTTGCGATTAAAAGTCTTCATAAGCTAAAAATGATACAGAAAAAAACTTGAGGCTTAAGCTCACACAAGTACTAAATAAGCATTTCTAAGTTGGAAAAACATTAAGTGATGAATATCACATTAGTATGCATTCATTCTCCCATCATTATTGTCAAAATTCAATTCACTTTTAACTTTTTATAGTCTGCAACAAAGAAATACTAAGGTTTATTTTCCTTTGTACCTGTAAGTAGAGAAAAATATTTTCCCATATGGTTTAACAAAACAAAGGTGCCCCACAACCTAACTAGAAGGAGCACAAGCATAAAAATCTGTCCCCTCCCCAAAAAAGTCCTTACCTGAAATCCAACGCAGGGAGTAGAATTTCATCCTAAAAGTATTTTTTAAATAATCAGTTAGAGTGTAAGTTCTGCGGCTGTCAGCTGCACCATCATCTGTTGATTAAAAAACAGCCAAATGTTCAGTAAGATGGGATAACCTAAGTTTGGGATAAAATAAACAAATGGATCACTGCAATATACACTGGTCACCAACTATAGGAATTACACTCACAAAATGCAAAACACATTCTAAAAGATTTCCGGCTGGATGGATGGAGTAGAAATGCACTTAACTGTTAAAGCACATATGTGAGTGGTGTGTCTCCCTGGGCTACGTTAGTGCCTGTATTAGTGAGCTTCCTTACGGAGGTCTAGATCCGCAAAATCCAATGGAAATATTAATGTGAGTCCATTTTCTAGTAGCCATATTTAAAGATTTGTAAGGTGAAAATAATTTTAGTAGCATATTTTATTTAGCCCAATATATTCAAAATATTATCATTTCAACATGGAATCAATATTTAAATTTTATTAATGAGATCTTTCACATTCTTTGTTTTTATACTATTTCTTTGAAATCCAGTATGTCGTCTATGATTGCAGCATGTCCCAATTTGACTAGGCACACTCCCGGTCAGTAGCTATAGGTGGTCACGTAGTAGACGGCACAAGGCTAGGCTGTCCTTCTTTGAGGACTGAAGGTTCCTTTCCAAGCTCTCTTGCTTTGCACGGACCTATAAGACAGGGTGATCGCCTAATTCACTGATCTTTGTTTCTATGGTGACTTTTCCTTGAACTTGGGGGAGGTTTTTATGAAACCCTCCCACGGATTCAGTGACACCTCACTTCTCCTCCTAACCTCTGATCATTCATTTTCCATCTCCTTCTTTGACTTTATTTTTCTCTATTGACCTCTAAGGCAGAAATGCCCTGATGTTCAATCCTCAGCTTTTTGCTCTTTTCTCTCTACGCTTTTCCTTCTAGAGGACTCCAGAGAATGTGACTTCCTGGGCTTGAGGCATGTTTTCCATTTAAATACATGACAAAACGTATACTCATCACCTTGGCCTTCTACACCCCAAACTCACATTTCTAGTGCTGTGTTGGGCCTTCTTAGTTGGCTTGTCCCATACTAACCCTAGACTTACCTTGTCTAAAATAATTGTCTTCCTTCCAAAATAATTTTCCCTAGGGAATTTGTGTGGGGTTTTTTTTGTTTTGTTTTTTTTTAGATTCTGTCGCTGGAAACCCATATTCAAAGTCTGAAACTCATTTTTGATGTCTCCCTCTCTCTTACTACCACCTGCATGTAGTTAACCCTGTTGATTCCTCCTGTGAAATCGTTCTTCCGGGTATCCTGCCCCAGTCCAGTCCCCCCACTATACCACCCCTGGAATGATTTTTCCAAAATGCCACTTTCATCCCGGTGACCTTTTCCTCAAAAGCCTCCCCGGATTCGCCATTGCCTACGGAAAGATTCCAACTCCTGAGTGTGGCGCTCATGGCCTCCACAGTCTGGCATGAGCCTCTCCAGGCTCATTTCCACTCACTCCATGCATGAACCCTCTAACCCACTCACACTGATTGCCTACGGGACCCAGTAAGCCTTCTTTGGCTTTTCTGTCTTGCTGTTTGTCCCAAGCCTCTTCTCTGCAGTGTCTCCAGCCGCTTCCCGGGCTGTCACAGTCCTCCACCTGCCAGCTCCCTCCTCTCTCATCTAGACTTCAGTGCTGCCTCCTCTGATTTTTGCCCCCACACTACTCATTTGGCTTTTGTAATTAATAACTTCGGGGCGGTAACTATTTTACCATGCCTACCAGTGTGGTGGACTGAGCTAGGCCACATTCTCACTGATGAAAGGGCTTTGGGTTGTTTGTTTGTCTTTCATCAACTTAGTACCTAGCACGGTTCTGTGCCATAGTAGGCATGACGTAGGATAGCATTCTACAAGCCTAACGAAGCCATTGTGATTCCCCAACCACAGACCCTCCACTGATGACAAACAGCCTAAAGAGTTCTTCCATATACTCTATTCTTTCCACATACTTGCAAACATACACTCACAAAATCAGGCACCATCCTAACTTTTCTGTAACTGCTCTTACTCTTCTGGGGATTGAAAAGCCAGTAGCAGCTTCTCTTGTTAATTTTTTATAGTCTGTGGAAAAAGAATTCTCTCACAAGAAATGCCCTTTCAAAAGATGTTCTCAAGATTTTATTTCTTTGGATCTTAAATGATAACATAGCCTTGGTTCTGCCTACAAAACTTTCAATTTCAATAGATAAAACTGTTACACTTTATTACTTTATTGATTTTGTTTAAACCTAGTTTGCTAAATAAGTTAAAGATTAAAAAACAAAACAAAACTATTTGTTTGTTTGTTTTTTCAATTTGGGCCTGCATTACACCCTGGAAAATTAGCAAGGTATTTGCATTTCTTAGCAGAGATAGAGCAAATGGGTAAAACCAGCCCTTGAACTTGCCAGCTTTCAAACAAGAAGTAAAGCCCTGTGCTACAGAAAATATTTGAAACTCTACAGATCTGTAAATTTATTCACTAAATACCCTCAAATGTTTGAATTCATCCAATTGTTCTTGGATATATCAAATAGCTATAAAGTAAGTACTATTTGAAAAATACTGTTGAGATAAACCATGCTCTCAAGAGCTATTGGCCTAAAATGGACACAAAAGACATTCTAAAATTAGTACAACTCAAGGTATAAATGGTTATAGACCTTCAGAGTCCTATATTACCTGCTGATATAGATGTCTAGATAGACCTATTGATACAGAACAATGTATACATACACATGCACACACACTTACATTGCGATGAACTAGATGTTTTTGTCCTCCAAAATTCCTATGTTGAAATCCTAATCCCCAGTGTGATGGTATTAGGAGATGGGGCTTTTGGGAGGTGATTAGGACATAGGGGTAGAGCCCTCATGAGTACCCTTATAACTTAGTGCCCAGAGGACTCTCTTGTCCCTTCCATGTGAGGACACAGGAAACAGGCTCTCACTAGACACTAGACACATAATCTGCCAGTGCCTGAGTCTTCCCAGCCTCCAAAACTGTGAGAAATAGACACTTGTTTGAGCCACCCGGTCTATGGCGTTTTTGTCAATGCAGCCCGAACAACCTAAAACGTATATATCTAATAAAACAGACATATCTTTCACTGCCTCTTGATTTTGTAAGGGGAGAATTAACCGAGTACTTATAACAGATGACGCGTACAGTGTTCTCTCATTTAAATGTTACCTCATGTAAGGGTATTTGCCCTGGTTTTTTAGGATAACACACTTAAATCTGGAATATTTAACATAACTGAGGCAAAATTCCCTGTGACGTCACCTGCTGTCCAGGGCGCCACCCTGCACATTCATGATGCATGACTCACTGAGCACTTAACCTTTCCCCTGTCTCAGACAATGCTGAGCTCATTCTCTCCTCAGGCCACAGCATTCCTAGACCCATCATGTCTACCATGTTTGGGCTCCTACCATGTTTGCTCATAATGGGCCCAGGATGATTTTAATCCAACCGCTGATGTCCCAGATATCAACCCTGATGCTACACTCCTGCTAGGGCCCAGGATATCTGTGAAGGCCCGGGCCGCCTCTGGTTTGTGTCAGGCTCGCTCAGCCACTTAACGATGACCCCGCGAGCCGCTTTCTACCTCCTGGCTACCCAGTGCCAGAACAGCGCTGCTGAATTGGAGCAAATCAAGCAACAAATGTTCCCTGTTTTTTTGCCTTGCCATTTGATAAGCAGTGCACATTGGAAGATACATCTGAAACATCTAGATAAGTGAGTTCTGTAAAATGTGAGTGCCAAGTCCAGGTTTTGACCTTTAGCAAGTTCCTAGTTTGTTGCCAAGTTACAACCTATTCTGTCAAACACTTACAGGACACGCTCATGTTTCTTTCCCCTTGTCTCCTTGCTCACTGACAGAGCACTGCTGTGGCAACAGATGAAGGTCTTTGGCTGCTTGTGTGGTTTTCCTGGTGGGCCTGGGACATGTAGTTCATTTGACTTATCGGTTCAAAGCATTATGCTAGCCAAGTAAAGCAGTTAATCATATGTTACCCATCAGCTTTTATAGAAACTCTTAGATTCATGTCTTCTTCAAAATCAAAAAAAAAAGGTTAACAACTTTAGATTTTACTTTTTTGGTGAGAACAGCTATTGGGTTAGACCATATGAAAATGTCATTTTTATCAGTCAAAAATTGTAGAATAACAGTATTTAAAATGACTCAACCTGATAAAGTCTTATCAAAGTGGTATCTCAATGCATTCTTTTTTTTTTAAAGATTTTTACTTATTTATTTGATACAGAGAGACACAGCGAGAGAGGGAACACAAGCGGGGGGGGTGGGAGAGGGAGAAGCAGGCTTCCCACCGAGCAGGGAGCCCGATGCGGGGCTCGATCCCAGGACCCTGGGACCGTGACCTAAGCCGAAGGCAGACGCTTAACGACTGAGCCACCCAGGCGCCCCTCTCAATGCATCCTTGTTGTAGGATCAAATCATTTCTGAATAAAAGTATTTCCAAAATTATAAGATCTAAGTAAGGATGTAGTGTGGTTCCATGGAATGGTCTTGCCTTGACCACTTGTTACTTTGTGATTACAGAATAATTTGAATATTTTGTATATATTAGTAAAAAACTTTTTTGTCTGTATTGGGCTATGATATATAATATTTCTACTTCCAAAGATAAATTCTTTTGGTAAATAAATGGCTAATGAAACGCAACTAAAATGTGCTCTTTAAGCTCATAAACTTATTAAGTTGTTAAACACAGGAAAAAGATATCTGGTTATAGAATTCTTGGGTTCCATATGGTAATCAGTTAACATTTTGTATTGATGCTAAAGAAATGAAATGAGTGTTGCTTCAGAATTTGCCACAGCAAAATAGCAGCCTTGACATAGGGACAGAGGAAGCAAAATCAAGGAGGCAGAAGAAGAAATTGACTGGAAGGCACTTCATACCCTGTATTATTCAGTAGCATATGCAGGCAGGCTACCACCCATCTGAATTGATCCAACAAATACCAATAAAGTGTTGGGTCCTTGACGGCTTTGAAATCGGAGAGCC